GTAGTTTATCACTATTAGTAGTAATAGCTAACACACAGGTAAATCAGTTTTTGTCATTACTGGTAGTTTGAATTTGAACTGTTTTGACATCTTTTTTATTGATTATAATAGAACTAGCCATATCAAAATAAACTGGAGTTTCATTCATATTGACAATTTGGAAAAGATCATACTAATATTTTTAACAGAATTAGATGACAAATCTTTGAAATTTCATAGTTTTTGTATTGAGATCAGTAAATAATTGCTAACTAATCTTAATATGATATCAAAGAGAAAGATTATGTCTTTTTAAAAACTGATAAAATCAAGATTTAGAGATATAAAATTTATCAAAGATATCTGGATAAGTATTTACATAAGTTGTTACAAGAATAATAGTTATTTATATTTTGATAAATCTAGCTGTTATAATAATTCCAACCAAGTATATATATAATTTAGTATTTGAAATAATATGCTAAATAATTTGCTCAACTTTTATTTTGCCTATACATCATCTGCTAGATGTTGATAATCTGATAATAAATTATCTTGCAGATTTTTATTATGTTCTACTTTCTCATCTTTCATATGTACTATTTCCTCATCAATTAATATTTATTTTCATTTTAATAATTGATTATCCTATTTTTCCAAGCTATCAATACTCAAGTTATTACTCTCACCATTATTATTATCCAGTTCATTGGTAAATCTATTATTCAACTCTTAATTTTCTTTATTTTTGAGATTACTTGCTAATTCAAGTTGTTCTATTACAATTTTGATTGGCAAAGCACTTGTATTTTAATACAATTCTTTATATAATATAATTTATTTTGATCAATAAGAGTAGGTTATAAAAGTATGAATTTGACTCATAGCAAGTACTTTATTATTCTATAATTATTAAAAATTAGATAAATAAAAATGTAAATCATATTAATAAAAATAGTACCTGAAGTCTATTTCACTGGATAGTATGTAAAAAATTTATTGAGCTTCATAAACGCTTAATTGATGCAATATTTACACAGATTTCAAATAGTTATAATGCTAATGATCCTAATTCTTGAGTAGATAATACTACAAATTCCTAAAAAGATAAAATATTCTTTTCAAATTACTCACAAGTTGAATTATTAAATGACTATTTTTTTTTGATAGTTTTTCAATTTTAAAAGAATACAAACTAATCATTTAGAAAATTATACCTTATAATAACAAATCACAAACTGGGTCAAATAGGTAAAGTTCAGATTATTGGTACTTGCTTGAAACTAATTATTTCTAATATTAGAATTTAAAGAAAAAGATAAAAGAAATAAAGACTATTCCTATTATTTTTACCATCATTCTAATTTTTTAATCATTTTTGTCACTAATGATTTATCAGAATACTATTCTTAAAATTGTAAAAGTCCACCAAATGCTTATAATACCTCATAAAGATGCATAATATCATATTGAAGTTTATTTAAAATCTTATAATAAGATGATAAAATATCTTGCAACTTGATTATTTATCACTAAAAATTATCACTTAGTAAAATTAACATAATTTTACGTGAAAGATATAATTTATTTATCACAGATATAGTTACTTTATCATTATTATATTTACTTATTATTACTGATAATTCATAAGTAATTACTAAATTCTAAAAATAAAAATATTAATAAATTTATAAATAAATTATTATACATAAATATTAATTTACTCATAATACTTGATATAACTTGAACAAACTTTTAAAATAATATATATAGGAATTCCAACTTATATCTCTAGGACAAATCAACATTATATATTTTTGATATACTTGAAATTATATTTCTCTTAGCTTTTCAATTCAATATAAATGTAATAAGTAATTAAAATAGATAATGAGAGTAATTGCTTGCTTAGAGGCTTGTTTGTATTTACTTGATTCTTTAAATACTTCTTCTATTATAAGATTATATTGATGCATAAAATATGGTAAAAAGATAATTTGAGGATATTTAATATAAAGTTAATATTTAAATAAATAAAATTAATAAATAATTTATCATTTTTAAAATATTAACTTTATATATATCTAACACTAGCAAATGCTGAAGTACTATCTGAAATAATAGTACTTAGTTTTGCTCTAATATTCTTAGCTTTTATTATTAAATCTTCAATTTTTGGAATTATTTCAATCATTCACTCTCTTTTAGTATTTATATTATTTGCCTGTCAAATTAATACTTCTTCTGATAATAAAATAAATAAAGAACCAAAAATATATTGCTTAAGTATATTCTTTTATTTATCAAATGCTAAAGTTACTCTAATAGTATCTTCTTTCAATTTTTGGTCATGTAATTATAAAATATATTAAGTTTCATGTGATAAAATTCAATTTATCAAAGTATCACATTAGAGAAGAACAAGATTAGGATTAAGAAATTTAAAAAATTCTCATATTTCATAATTATTCATCTATTAGAAAGCCTAGCTATTTGAAATAGTCATTCTTAATAATAGTTTTTCAAATTTTGATTTTTCTTTTTAAGTAATATTATATATAATAAAATTATTCATTATATCAGATAGTTTTTTGACTTCTTTGTGACAAGTAATTGTAGTAGAGATAGTTGAAATATCTTTATTACTTTCATAATTATTTATTAATTAAATATTAGTAATTTATTTAATTAAATATTAATAATTTATTTAATTAAATTAATAATTATTAAATTATATACTTGATATCTCTTGAATTTATTACTTTTTATTTTTTTCTCTTTTAATTGACTAGAAGTCTCATTTTTATTATCCATTAAAAAATATATTATATTAACTGCTTCTTGTAATTTTATTTTATTTAAGAAATATTCATATTATTTCAAGTGATTTTGTACAGTTTCTTTTTTGTTAGTAATAGAATTTTTCAGAGTTTCCTCTCTAGTTAAAGCTCTGTCATAAGTATTGTAAATTGTATAAGTATTGGCTGGATTGCTTGGCTTTTTGCTAATTATTATTATATAGATTGTTAACTGATATGATTTATATTCTCCTGTATATTGATAAGACATTATAAAAATTTTTCACATTATTAGATTATTATTGGATATCATTAGATTATTATTAGATATTATTAGATATAGATCTTCTAATGAATAAATTCTTATTAGAAGCGTTCTAATAGTATTAATGATTAGAATCTACTATACTATTTGAAACTATTCCAATCACTTTTCAATTCTAGCAATTATTATTAAAATCTTCCAATAAGCATCACTGCATGTAAATATTCAATAACTTATAATTTGAGATCTTTATGAAAAAGAAGAGATCTAATCTTTATATAATAATCATATTTTAATATAATAATTACACTATTATTAAGTTATTAATTTATTCAAAAATAAATAAGCTATATTTATTATAAATTTTTGTTTAAGCTTTGAGCAAGAAAATTGCTTATATTTATCTTGATAAATTCTTGATCCCAAACTAGATAAAGAAATTAACTTATAATTTAAAGTTGAAAAATTTTTTTTTAATAAAGTATCTAGAAATTTTAAATTAAATTTATTATTATTATTACTATCATACATATTATTAAATATATAATCTGTATTAAATTTAATTGCTAGAAATATTTTAGTAATCTTTATAAAATCTAAAATAGCTTTTTTCTAATAAGTTCTTTTATTACACAATATCAATAGTACTATATTATTATATACTGATCTATGCAAATTTTTAGCCTATATATTTGATTCTTTTGTATTTTTAATAAGTTATTCTAAAATATTTAGTTATATTTCTGATATTTTATCTGTAAATTTATCACTATTAAAGCATATTTTTTTTCTTTTATTTAAAAATTATTAAATAATAATTTATCAAGCCTTTTAGTATTTAATAATTTGGATATTATTTCTTTAAAGTTTTTTTCTTTTTTCTAATATTTCACGATAGTATTCTGGAATTATTTAGTATATTTATTTAACTTTAACATAATTATTTAAAAAAAATTATAAAAATCATGATTATTTAATTTAATTATTTTAATTAATATGAATTCTAATTTTAAAAAAAAATGGCAAAATTCATTTTCAAAATGATCAAACATCACATATTGAATTTTAGCCAATAAAATCATATAAAAATAATTAACCTAAATTTCAGTGATGACTTAGTTATTTGATATGACTAAATCATTTGCATCATAATAAAAAATATTAATTAAAAATAATATATTAGAAGATTAAATTTATTAAAAAATATAATAAAAATAAAAATTTTCTTTTTATTTAAACTTTATAATTTTATAATAAATATTTTTTATTTTTATATCAAAAATAAATTTATAAGTTATAATTTAATATATATTTTTTTAGATTTTTCTGAAAGAGTTATTCTAAATACAAAGTCATTACAAAATTTTTTCTAATTAAAATAAATTTAACTAGAAAAAATTTTGTAATGACTTTGCATTTAGAATAACTCTTTCAGAAAAAAAATTTAAAAAATCTGAAAAAAATATATATTAAACCATAACTTATGTATTTTTGATATAAAAATTAAAGTATTTATTAATAAAATTATAAGTTTAATATAGAGAGAAAATTCCAATTTTTATTAATAAAATTAATCTCCTGATGGATTATCTTTAGCTATCATTATATAATATTTTTATTATTTTTAATATTAGAAAAATAATATAATTTAATAAAAAGCTTAAAGACTCATTTTTTCAAATCTTTGACAAAAAAGTATTTTGAAAATAATTTTATTAAGTTATTTTATATGTTCTTTGAATGAGTTTGTTTATTAAATTATAAATAGAAGCATTTTTCAAATTAATTTTTTTAATATAAAAAAATCAATTAAAAAATTAAGAAATTAAGTTTTTTTTCATCACCGACTAAATATAAAACTGATTTTGGTCTTAAAAAAATCAGATCTTAAATAGCAATCTCGTGACGTTGAATCGCGAATTAAATAATAGATTCTCATAATCAAGAAAAATAAGAAAATGTCTGAACAATTGAAAAAGAATTTTTACCAACACCCACAAGAGCAACAAGAAACAATAATTCCATATACAGGTCGCTCACAAATTATTTATTTCGATCCATTTTTTTTATCATTAATATAAATAAATGATGTAGATACGAATCCTGAATACCGAGAAACACCATTAATATCACCGATTCCACGGCCAACAATCGAATCATGTCCACCATTGACACAATCACAACTACAAACAATAGAAAGAGGAGCGGGAAGCACATATATGATAAATACAAATACTAGACAACAGCAGCAGCAACATTATTTACCTAATCGAATGAATTTTCAACCCGTTTCTTCTTCCATTCATTCGAGACAAAGGCAACGAGAAAAAATCCCCTTACCGTTGAAACCTGAATCACGACAACAAATTTCTCAAATGCAATCTTCTTTATTTTCCCTTGCATCTGCTGCTGATATCGAACGACAGAATAATTCAGATTTTTTGTATTGTCGAATTCCATTCGATGCCACTCGTGAACTCGAAGGATTAAAAATGGTTATAGGCAAAGTAAATATATATATATATTAGGGCCTATTAATCGAGGTTTTCGGGTACTAGAATGAACTTTTTTTAATTACATTTCAACAGCCTAGTCCACCGGACTATGATGTATTTTGTTCTGCAAAGATAGTCGATGGGTTATTCGAAAGAAAAGTATGTCATTTTATTTTTTTCTCTAGATAATTCAGGAACTCGATGATTAATTTAGAGTTATAAATAGCATCGTCTATCCACAATTCCTCATGAAAAATTAACTGCTGCCCGTGGAAAATCAAATCCCTACGAAAAAACAAGTAATTCGATTTTTATCAATCGTGCTGCGGTAAAATTGGCTTGTTTGGATGCTACGAATCGGTTAACTGGAAAGAAATTCCCCAATAAAAGAGTAAATATTTTAGAAAATTTTATTATTTTATGATTTTGATAACTTTTAACAATAATGCTTTGTTTATTAACTCAGCCTTATAGGTTTGCAGATATATGTGGAGGTCCTGGAGGATTCTCCGGTAATTGACTCTTATGTTCGACTTTAATAGTTTATTCTTCAAATAATTAATATATCATTCATATATTAAAGAATACATATTATGGCGTAAACATGTTAATGGAGAAGATGTATATGGATGGGGTATTACTTTAATCGGGGATAAAGATTTCGTTCCTGAGAAATTTCATCCTGATTCAGGAGTGGACGATTGCTATGAAATTATTTATGGCGCTGATGGAACAGGTATTTCTTTGATTTACATCACTTTAATTTTTCGTTATAAGAACTTGAATTACCACTATTTGATCTGTAGGTGATATATGCAAAGAAGAAAATATCCGGGAATTTGGTAGAATTATTTTAGATAAGACTATGGGTGCTGGTGTAGACTTGGTTGTTGCTGACGGTGTAAGTGTTATTATGTTCTTTTTGATATAATAATGATAATAAAGATGATAACAATAATAGTAATAAAAGTATAATAATTTCATGAATTCTAGGGAATAGATTTCCGAGGATTTGAACAAGAACAAGAGACCCGAATGCGACAATTAATTTTGTGTCAAGTTACTACTATGTTTCTTGCCCTTCAACAAAGTAGGTATAATGTTATATAATCTTTTTCATTGATATTATTATCATTACTTTTACATATTATAATTTATTTTTCAGATGGAGAATTCGTATTAAAAGTATTTGACGTTTTTACTCAATTTACCGCTGGAATTATTTGGATTCTTTACCGCCATTTCAAATGTATTCGTATTCAGAAACCGGAACCAAGTCGTCCCGCTAATTCTGAAAGGTATGACTTAATATTAAAAAATCAAGAATAGTCTAATATACCATCTAAAGCTTTTTAATTTATTTTTTCTTATTGAAAAAGATACATAATATGTCGTGGACTTCATCAATCCCGTCCAACAATAACCAATTATCTATTCGACATCAATCGTAAACTCAATGACCTCTCACGTCGTCGTAGTCGTGGTGAACATGAAGAGCAAGATATAATTCAGATTGTGGAATTTGAGGAAATGAAAAAAGATGAGTCGTTTATGCAGTACTTGAAGAATTCTAATGAAAAGTGAGTGAAAAACAATTAGTTTTTTGGCGTATCGTTTTTGTAATGCCACCAAAAAGGAATTAATATGTAGTACTTTATTTTTTAGAATTGCTTTAGAACAGAGTAAAGCATTGGATGAGCTGTTGAGATATGTGCATAATCCGTATCCTTTCTTGTTGTTTCTTTTTATTTTTCTAAATTATCGAGTATTTTACTTGCTACATATTTTGATGTTATTATTTATTTAGTGAATTAAAACCAAAAAATCAGGAAGAAATTCGTCGAGAACGATTCGCTCAGTGGTTGTTACCAATTGAAGAACATCACCGGCGTTCTGGTGGTAATAGTGGTAGACAAGAGACTAATTATTCTCGTCATAATTATTAATGTTTCATACTAGAAGACTTAAAAGTAAATAAAATATATGAAATAATGGCATTAGAGTGTTATTTTGAATAGAAAAGATCCTATACGTATGAAAACCAAATCAGATTTACTCTAAAAGTCCTGCAAGGACCGAATTAAGGTAGCCCAGTGCAGGCGAATCGATCTGCAGATCTAGGGTAATTTGCGTGAAACCAGAGTGTATCTGACGATCCTCTCCTCGCGCATAATTATCTACGTCCGGAACTCGGCAGCAATAAATCTGGTGATGTGATTTTCGCCGCCTCCCTCCCTAAATCGATCTCGTGATCAAGTCACATTTTAATATAGAGGTTTATTAGCAAATCAGATTCATGCTTGATTTTGTTATTTTATACTGGCTGATATAATCAACATAGTGCCAAAAAGAAGGGAAATTTAATTAGTAAAATTCAAAAATAGGTGTACTACTAACGATATTGAGATGGTTGAACCATTCGAAGTTTTTATCAAAAATACTTCGGAAACCGACCTAGCAAAATATTCTATGACTATAAACAAGCAGCATCCAAAAATAGTTAGCAGAGAAATTATAAAAAAAGGTTAAATAGCTTGAAAGATTGCTTTTGATGTGAAGAAGTGATAAATCTCTCTAAAAGAACCAAACATAGGATACAAAGATACTAGAAAAGTTATAGAAAAATAATTTTTTTGCTAAAGTAATGATATATAGACAGATATTAAAAATATTTATATAAATATTTAAAGTAATAAATTAATAAAAATAAAAAAATTTAAATTTTGAAATCATAGTAAAAAGATTTAAAAATCTTAATTTAAATTCTTTTGCTTGTCAATAATATAATTTACTAGAAATCAAACTAGTTTTAGTAAGTTTATTGACAAATTTAAAAGTTAAAGAAATAATTTGATATTAAAATTCTGATAAATCAAGATTAAATTAATTATGTTTTATTTATATTAAGTTTGTAAGTAGAATTATAAGTTAGCTTATCAGAAGCTTATTTATAATTATGTTTAAAATATTATAAATATTTGATTTATAATTGAAAAAATAAGTAAAAAAAGAAAACTTATAATTATTTACTGATAAGTTATTTTAAATATAATTAAAAAAAGTATTTAATCAAGCAAGAGTAAAGAAAAAAGTAATTAAGAGTGAATTAAATTATTAATAAGAAAAGAGTTATTTAATTAATATGATTTTTATAAAAAAAAGATTAAAATTCAAAAAAATCAAGATTTTAAATTGATATAATTGTAAGAAAATATAAATATTTATAAAAGAGCAGAAAATTTTAGAGATTATTATTAAGAAAATATTGAAAAAGATAAAAAGATTATAAAAATAAGAGATTGATTTAGTAAAAATTCTTTTTAGAAAATATAAATTAAAAATAAAGAATATAATTAATTATTCATAATTAATAAAAAGAAATATTTTTTTAAAATATTTTAATATTAAAAATAAATATTTAATATTTTAATTAATTATAAATCTTGAAATTTTAGTTAATTACTATTAATAATTAATTTTAATTATAAAAGAAAATTCTTTGTAATTAAAAATAAATTTATTTATAAAATTAAATATTATACAATATTACTTTCTTATTTTAATTCTTATATATATAAAATAATTCTAAATAATAAAAGTAAAAAAAGTAAAAACAAAGTAATTAATTTCAAGATTTATTAATAAAATATAAAATTAATCATAATATTTTTTAGATAAAACTTTATATTAATTTTTATTCAATTTAATAATTAATTAATCTTTTTATTTAATTTACTATTTTATTAATTAATTTAATAGCTAAATCTTTATTATTATTAATATAATTTTTAAAAATATTAATAAAAAAACAAATTAATTTCAAGAATAAATTCATTTAAAAAAGTTTTTCTTATTCTAATCTGTTTTATTTTATAAATAATTATATTAATAAAATACTTATAATTATAATTAATTAAATTATAATTATTTATTCAAAAATTATTTGCATATACTCAAGTAATTTATTTAATATTTTTTATAAATACTTAAAAAATATTATAAAATAATATTTATATAACTTATCAATTTTATTTTTTAAATTTATTTTAATAAACAAGTTATATTTTATTATTTTCTTTGTTAAAATAATAAATTCTTATATTATTACCAATATTATCTAAATAAATATCAAAATAATAATATATAATTTTAAAATTTTTATTTATTTTTCATATTATAATAATATCTAAAAGTTTAAAATACTTATCTAAATTAGAAGAAATAATATTACTATTATTAATATAATAAATATATTAATTAATATTAATACTCTTTATCTTTTTTTTTCTATATAAGAATAATAATTAAATTACTAAATACTTATAAAAATTAATTTCAAGATGAATTGATAATTATATCAATTAGTATATATAATAAATTATTATATTTTGTTATTAATATATCATTATTAATACTATAATAAAAGATTTATTAAATATTATTTATATATAACTAGAATAAGAAAAAGAAGAAAATAATTATAATTACTTAATTATAATTCTTATTAAATTAAATCTCAAAAATATCTAATTTCTAAGTATTATTAAAATTGTTATAACTTCATAATCTTTTTAAATATTTTTTATAATAAGAATAATCATTTCAAGAATAATTAACAAGTATTTGCTTTACAAGTTGATATATTTTTTAATTTCTGAAATCTTTATAATTTCTTAATTTATTTTATTCTTTGAATAACTCTTAAGATATTCTTCAGCAAAAATTTCCCTATCTCTTAAAAAAGTCCTCTCCGGGATCTAAAAGTGAATAAGAGAAAAGCAGAAGGTTTTATATTCAGTTAAGAGCCAAGGTTGCTAATCCTCTGATTTAGTTGCTTCCTATCGTGCTCCCTCTTGCGAGCTTCAATTTTTTTGACTTCAACTAAAATACTTACTACCAAAACTGCTAATATATTATGTAATTTAATTTTAGAGGTTAAACAAACTACAAAGAAATTATGTCTAAAAACCGAAAATTAAACAAAAAGTTAGCAATTTGGTAGACGACTATATTAACAAAGACAATGGAAAAAGGCCTATAGAAGCTATAGAAGACTTGAATAATTTCAACAAGGAAGAATTAATTGACGTTATAAAAAAACAACAATTCGAATATGATTTGCTTAATCAAAAAATCACGGAATTGGAATCAAAATATAAAGAACTAGAGAAAAAAACTCAACAACTACCTGTTACTAATGAACCTACGGCTGTAGTCAAATCAAATGCATCGCAAAAAAGCAACGATAAACCAGAAGAAAAAATCGGAACAAATAGTTTTTCATCGATATTAAGAAACGCACTAGATCAATTTGAAAAATAGCAAATGCAAGAAGAGTTTGAGTTACAGAAACTAGCATTACAAAATCAAATAAGCACATTTCAAAATTTAATCAACTCATTTAACGAACATTTTGCTGTTATACAGCAAGAAATTCAAAAAAAGAATGAAAAAATGATCGATTTTCATAAAGACATTGAATCACATAAAGCAGCATTTATTGAAGCTAAAAAAAGTCAAGGGAATGAATATGAAAATGATGCGAATAATTCTTTTCAACTTGTTAAAGATATCGAAAGAATTCAAGGAAACGTTGTTGATGCGGTCAAAATAAAAGGGGTAAAAATTGAAATTATGACAAAGCAAGCAGACGGGATCCTGTCTTATTATCATAGCAGGACAAAAATCTCTGATGATAATGGAAAATTGGCGTTGAGTTGTGCTCTTCAACGTTTTATAGTTAGGAAAGTTTTCGGTTTTGTCGAAAATTTTACTGAAACGCTTCAACTTGAAAAACAGCATAAAGATGAATTTGCTGAACAATTTATTATATTTTATACACAAGAACTATGCATGCTTATAGAAAAACTTTCAACAAATCGAATTGGATCAGATGGTTTTACATGTATTACACCAATCAAAATACGCCAACAGGTTTATGCTGCCTTGGGTGCACGCGGCTTTCATATGGAAAAATGGCATCCTACGATCAAATATCTTGGTGACGACATAATCAGTAAACTGAACCAATGTCGAAAACTGCCTCAAGAAATGAATGAAGAAACGCAGGCACAAATCTATGAGCTGGTGCTTGAATTAATTCAACTTCGTTTTCGGATCGATCCGATGTTGAAGATAACGAGGAGGAGTTGGAAGTCGATATATGCTATTTTCCAGTTATTGGCACATTTTTGGATGATCCTAAGAATCGAAGAGTATATTTCAAAGCTAAGATATTAACAAGAATCAAGACACACGATCAAAGCGACCGACGTAACCAACGCGGAAGTTTTTTAGGTTCATTACATCCCATTAAATTCATTTAAATCCATTTAAAAAACCCTTGACTTTTATTCATAAGTAGATGACCTTCGTTCTATGTTATTAAATAAAAATTCACTTATCTTTTGCTACAATATATGTCGCCGCGGCAACGTCAGCGAACCAACGAGATCGATCAATCAATATAATTTAATTACCGTTTCGATTTTTGCTTAGTGATACCGTTGCAATAATTGCTTAGTAATGCTTATCAATGAAAATCATATATAAAGATTCAAATCAAAAATTATAAAATACATCTTTCCTCTCCTTATGTATTTATCCGCACACCAAGCAACTAAGAAACTTGGTATCTCATTAGACACCCTGCGTCGATGGTTAAAGCAAGGAAAGATTACAACTAAAACATCTTCCGGTACTCGTCTTTACACATATCTTCTATTTTTCTAGAGTTGACTTCACAATATGTCGATAACAACGCCGCCGCCACCATCACCATCACCACCTAAAAGGGATTCCTCTATGCTCGGATCTCTAGTGTCAAGCAAAAAGAGGATCTTGAATGGCAGAAACAACTCCTCAGCTCCTGATTTCCAACCTACGAACTCATCAGTGATATTGGATTGGGTGTCAACTTCAAATGACCAGGACTTAAGACCTTATTGGAACAGACAAGTCACGGAATGGTTTCAGAAATTGTGGTTACCCATCATGACTGACTCTGCCGCTTCGTCTTCGACCTCATCCAGTATATACTCTCCCTCCATACTATAAAACTCGTGGTTCTCTTTGATGATACGACCTTGGATTAAAATGAAAATGATGCTCGGGGAATTTTTCTCCGGGCTTTGTTTGATGAAGTCTTGATTCTTTCCGGAGATCATGCAGGAAATAGTAATAATTAGTATTAATGTATTACAATCCATCCGTAAATGACTTCCCATGAATTGTATCTTGTATCCTATATGGTCATTTTGGGGGTCGAAAAATTAAGGGGTTGCTTAAATTCGGAATTCTTTAAAAAAATACCGAGTAATAGTCGGTTAAAGGGGTGCCTCGATGACTATATGCGTGAGAATACAAACAAAAAAATGCGTCTAAAGCTACGGAGTAGAAAATATTGATAACTGGAGATAGTTAATAAAGATGATAACTCCGCTGAAGAGTTAAAATAAATAAAATTATTTTAGGGCGGAAATAGGGGTACCTTATTTTAATAATTACAAAAATTAGGTTTTTTAATATCAATTTTAACATTTATTAGCTGGGATGATATAAAAAACATTATGTTCAAACTAATTCACAGTGAAACTCGATATAACGGATAACACACCAATTAAAGCCTCAATATAACGGATCGAAGTCTACTCGATAAAATGGATTTATAAGTAAGTCTCGATATAACAGATTTTTCTCTAATTATCTGAAACCATCCGTTATATCGTCCAAATTCATACAGAATTAATCACTAATAATGAATTCTGAAGAAAGTTCACAAAAAAAAGATATGTAAATCCAGATTTAATTAAAAATCTCAATATATATTAGAATTAGGGAATGTTATTGCAGATCATAACTTGCATACTCGTGATCTTATTTATAGAAAATTCGCGTCGAAATTCAAACACGTTCTTTTCAAATGGAAGACTCACCACAACAGCGTATTAATCTTCTCAGACAGCAATTAGATTTTTTACAAGCTCAATTAGGCACTACTGCAAATATTTTTGAGGTACTTATCTTTTAAACATCATGTATTTCTTTATTTTTGATTGGATTGTTGAGAAAATACCTTTTTTTATTAGAAACATCCAAAACGCGAGACCTTTGCTACAAAAGATTTGAACCAGTCCTCAAAAACCCTTTTTTCTTCTCAACTTAACCGCGCGAAAAATGCTGTAATGTCGGAGCAGATACACCCTATTCTAGCGTTGCAGCTAGATGACTATGTCCCTCCAACCGATTCAGAAGGAACATCTCCAGGCCCTACATATCAAAAACCCAAAAATGATGCTGCCAAGTTTGGTGGTGATTTATTAATACACGGGAAACGGAATCGAAAATCCACCAATATCATTCGAAATTGTGTGGTTGAGGAAGATAGTAATTTTGCAGGTTTGCTTACAAAAGTCAACGAGGTGTTGGAATCAAATGAGGAAAAAGATCAGGATTATTATACAAAGGAATTGAGACATAATGAAAATAATCAAGTCGAAAAAGATTTATTGGAAAAAATAGATGCCATCTTGAATTCAGAAGAAGGACGAACTTTTTTTGCGAATAGAGATAAATGGGATGATGACATTCTGCGTGAAGATCGTGAAGCACGTATTGCGCTTGCGTCTCGATATAAAAAATATGGTTCGCGAAGCTGGCGAAATCCAAATTGTGTTGTGAATGGTCGAGATGTGATTTCTGATGCTCGCCAAAACAGTAATTATGCACAATCAAGGCACAGTGAACATTCAAGACTTATTAATTATGCTGCATATGATTTGCCAGAAAAGTTAGGACGTCAGGTAATTTTTTATTCAAATTTGTCTAGTAATAAATAATTCGCTATTAACTTATAGACTTAATTGTATGGAATTTAGAAACCTTTAGGATCCGATCCTATAATGAGAAAACATCCATACCATTATAATCACAATAATAGCTGTTCTTGCAACTTACTCAAAGGAAGCAACGAAACGACGATTGGAGATGATAATGATTATTCCAGCATCACATTCGATGAGATATTACCTGGTCATTATTTTGGCGAACATACAATTAATAACGAAACGTTTTTTCATTCATTGTACCCAGGCAGATTTAAGCAAGTCAATATTCAGGAACATGATGTCAGAACTCAACATCCTCTGCTAAAACAAAAGTGGCATCATGGATAATTTTGCTAGTGTTTATTTATTTATGTAAAGACAAAAATATCCTAAATGTTCAAAAAAAATAAATGACAAATTTCAGCGAGTAAATTGTCTCAAAAATCATTAGAGGTACGCTGTTTGATCCATTCTTCGTGTCTCTTTACCAGTTCATTCACTATTCTACTTTCGATCTCGACTCCATCTCTCATTTCCTCTTTAGATAATTTTAGTTCCATTTCTGCATCATGAGTGATTAAATTTACTTCACTCTTACGTTTAGTCAACAAGTTTCCAATTACTATTTGATGGCCATAACGGAGCAGCGCTTGCCTTGATTTGGGAATCAAAAGATCCGGTTCTGTTTCAAGCTATCTCATATAGTCATATATAAATTAGGTTATGAAATCTTAAGATTCGTTTCTATCTTGGACAATAAAATCACCTTAAATGAAACAGTATATCCTTGAGGAGCCCAATTAGAAACCAATGGCCTTAGAAATTTTGGGACCTGATCCATTTTAAGGGTCATAGGTCCAGCACCCGATTGGATTTTATGTTCAGCCTGATTTTCATTAATTGTATAACATCGAGTTTAATGAATCTTTTCTCAAGATAGAGATTTTTTTGAAAAAGATACTTGCCATTTTTTGAGATGGAATGAAAAAATCGCTGACAGCTGCAGCGAGATAATAAAGGGCACATCGTTTTAGCTGATTCATCGCTTGTGTAACACTCCGAAGCAAGAAAAGGTAATCATTCACAGTAAGAAAATCAATCATCAAAATCATTTCTTTTCTTTTAAACTTAAAAATGAGTAAGCTAAAGTTTATCATAGAGGATAGAGATAATGTATTCAATAGATACCTCTTGATACTTTGCTAGCGCATTTTTAATTTTATCCATATGTGCAGGAGAAACTAATCAAAAGAAATCAATTAATGTTTCCTTCAATATTCATCTCATGAAAAAGTTTAGTAATGAATACCGCAAATAGACCCATCCGATTTCAGTTCCATTAAATCCAAGGCTGAATATTGCGAAAAATGTCGATTATATGGTTGAAGACTGTATTTTCTGTGCATAAAAATAACAGCATAGCCGGCTTCAAGAAAATATGTGTTATAATAGTCTAATTGGTTAAGGAACAGATCAAAGATTTTTTTGACACGCAAGAGTAAATCAAGCAAAAGGATATTCAGCGGATGTTGCTCCCCTTGTTCCAGCGCTAAAGTTATCTATGAATCGAACTGTATTATTTTCTAAAGGAACAGTGGTTCCTCCACTCTGATAACGTTAGATTATTATAGATAGCAACAACGAGAGCGTATAAGTGAGAATAGTAGTGGTCCCTACCGTTATTAAGACGACCTTACTTTCTGCATGTTTGCCCACGAATTCTTTTACCCTTTTCTCGTCTGCCTCCAAAGATTCTGGAGCCGTATGAGTTATGAAATAAGTGTCAGGATTAATAGGTTCACTACTAGCTTCTAATAAACCATCACTTTTTTCGAGGTTTAGTGTAGACATGTTAGCTTGCTCAACATCAGTAGGCGTGCAACAAATAGTTATTGTGGATGAAACGTACTATCGCTACCATATTTAGTTCCATTATATTTTCTAGAGAAAATTTCACATTCAAAACAAGAGATCAAAACCAATTCGATCGAGTTTCGGAAGCATGTGCAATGCTAACATCATACAGATAGCAAATCGTAATAATTTTGCCCCTGCATTTTATACTACCCTGAAGAAGTCAGAGTAGTATTTAAACCAGTTTCTAATATTAAATATTCGTAATAATAAAATCATTGTCATCGACATTTGATAGTGATAATGATAATGATGATGATAATGATGTTGATGTTGATGTTGATGTTGATGTTGATGTTGATGATGATGGTGATGTTGATGATGAGGCAAATGAACCTAGCCAAAATTGTGTTAAAAGATTATTGAAATGAGTTATATAATTACCGCTATCACCTAAAAATGTACAGGTTCCGCACGGAAAGCACTTTATTAAGCGAAAGCCATTGATAAATTTTTTTGCCAATCATGATTGATAGTTTAAATTCAATAAATATTATTATAGATATAAATTTAAGATACTAAATTTTTTCTATCTAAATTGCTTCAAAACGTTTGTGAAATTGATCGAAAAGTTTCTCCGTTTGCAAGTCACTACAATGTTGTCGTGAATTTTAGAAATTTTAGATAATTTAATAAGTCACGAAATTCATCATTACTATTAAATACAGATACGACTTTTGTAACTCTAAATGTTTTTAAAATTCGTTATTTTTCCATTGCATGTCAATATTAAAAAACCATTCTGCTGTTGAGATTTTTTCTTAGGTTCACATTTATCAATATTCTGCAAGTTTGTCAATCATCAATACTCGAGCACACATATTGGATAAAATATCCATCTTTAACTGAAATCAAATTGTTCATGACTTGTCATTTTAAATGAAGATCGATAGAGAATTTTATATATTACATAGAGAAGAGAAACATTATATCAATGCAATAATTAAATGACATACACGCAGTATATTTTTGTCAAAGTTATTTGAAAATGAAAAATTAAAAATCCCGATTAATAAATAAAATTAATTATGAAACATTTAAAATTTTGCTTGCGGACTTAAGTTTGAAAGAAAACTCAGAGGATGATTGCCATAATTATTCCAGGAAACATAGCCGAGGTTTCGGCTTATCGGGGCGAGGTGAGGTTTATATTATGAGAAAAATATAAAGCTTGAGAACTGGGACCAACTACAATTTATCGAATCTTATTCACCTACGAAACTAGATAAATTGGAAGTTTAGAATGATTAAAAATTATCTTAGCTTGTTCGCCATTAGAAAATTTAGAATATCTACTGAACTAGATAGATTGGAATTTAATCGCATCTACCGAACTAGATATACAATCAACTCTTTATATAACGAAGCTCTTTATGACGAACTCTTGATATAAAGAACTTAAAATTTTTGAATTTTTATTATTAGTTCGTTATAGTAAGAGCGGGCACTATAGAAAATATAGCAATGAACTTCTTTTTTTAACAGAGTTGATCGTATGGAAATTTGAATAGTATCTTGGATAATTCAAATATTTTTTCTTCAATATGCTGGCAACCATCCCCAAGCAGTTTCGTTTTAATCATTACATAATGCGATTATGTCAGTTAATTATTATAATGTTAGAGATAAACCTAGACATGGCGAAAAAAAGTCAGCATCATGTGATTTTTACCACTTTTTGTGTTCTAACAAAAAATGTTCCTTGCGAAATTTTACTAATATACTCTTGTGTGCATGATATACAATATAATTTTAACCCTAACCCTAACCCTAACCCTAACCACTTTTAATATAACGAAGTAGTTGGGTCTATAAGTAAAAATTTCAAGTTCATTATATCGCGGTTTTAATTAGACTTCGTTATATCGAAGAAAAGCAATTACTGACGTTAAGTAAATCTCGTGGCTGAACCAATTCAAATCATCCATTATGAATTGAAGCTAGCAACTCGCTTCCTGAACAATGTTATATTAAGTTGCGCATAAGGCAAGGTTTAATTTATTTTAATATTATAAATAAATTTTTTAATTATAAACAATTTAATAATTTTGATAAATGATACGCATAAATATCCATCTACATAAACTTAAAAAAGACGACAAAAAAAAGAATTACATAAGAAGAAAGCAGAAGAGAAAGGAAAAACGAGATCAAGAACGACAAGAATTAACTTTACTACTTGATCTTTAAATTATTAAGGTAAATTTATTTAATATTACTTTCAAATTTAAAAATATCTGCTTTTAATGATAATTGGCTCAAAAAGGCTCTTTTCACAAACGAAAAATAAATTTTATCTTGGTGTCCCAACTCGCTTGCCTGTCTTCGCTAGTTACTCGAATGAGTTTTTTTTGATTCGCAGTCTAGAGCTTTTATGTTGAGGGTATTAAAGGCTGTGACATTATTTGATGACTTTCTTAGCCGTTAGGGTTCCACCGTTATAATATCTCTAAGATTTGTTATTAGCTTATTTTTAGGCTTTCATAACAGATTCAGTCTATTAAATAAATAAATAAACAAACTAATAGTAATTAATAAATTTACCTTAATAATTTAAAGATCAAGTGGTAAAGTTAATTCTTGTCGTTCTTGATCTCGTTTTTCCTTTCTCTTCTGCTTTCTTCTATGTAATTCTTTTTTTTTGTCGTCTTTTTTATCATTTGCAATTCTAGCTAATCTTTTACTAGGTTCATTCACTTCATCATTTTGTTTTTCCGTACCTTTTCCTTTCTATTATAATTTTATTTATAAAATAAAATTCACCTTATGCATTGCTGATAAATTTTCTTATGACATTGCTCGTTCTGGAAAATATTCGAGTTGGCAAGTCATTAATATAATCAGGATGATCAATTTGAACTAAAAGTTCGATTTAAGACAAAATTGCAGAAAACAAATATCAAAATTCTATCTTGGCGCACTATTAGAAAATAAAGGAGACAATTTTACGTATATCCTCTTTCCCAGTTCTAAGCTTAACTATAATCCTAATGAAAAAATCACCTTTTAATAGTTGCCTGCTCACATATATTGGTTGATTATCATGTGATCGGGAACTGAGCACAGATTAAATAAAATGGATCATTTCCTGAACTCTAAAGACAATCTTCGTTTATAATTTAGACCGAAATTAATATTCGATTCAGTTTAGAGAATTGAAATTTAAATTAACAATTTTTTAAGAGTGCTTTAAAATGCAAATAAAATTATTATGTGTCCGACTTAGTTCAGTTCCAAACTGAAGTAGAATCAAACCGGGCAGAATCATTCGGATTTGGTCGAAACCGTACTTGAGCCAAATTCTTTAGATTCAGTTCAAGTGGATCCTACATACAGTGGTTCACAGAAGAAAATGCAACACGAAAAGTTTTACGAAAAAAAATTCTAGTGTCTCTAACATCGATTTAGAATACCTGGTTCCTATACTCATTTTAAACTAATAACCTAGAGAATATCTTAAAAAAAACAATCCTAAAAACTATATTAATGCTGCCATCTTAAAGAAATTGAGAATATTTTTAATTAGTGAAATTTTAGCTCTAAATAGGTTTGTTATCAGGGAGAACTATCTACATACCAAGTTCGTTGAAAATAAAAAAATATTAAGGAAGTCCAAATGTACTAATCTTATTTTGGACGTCGATTGTTTTGGATTATTTTGTTATTTAAATTTATTATTATTGCCCCCTTTCGTTGTCGCTGGATGATCACAGGCAACAAGCTTGGAAAAACTACGGGTTTCCGGTCGCGATTAAAGTTTGACGGTATAGTAACATGTAAATAATAAATTGACAAAAACAACGTCTATTTAATCATGCGTTAGTGCTAGTATAAATGCAATACATTTATAATGTAAAATAAGTTTTATTATTTGATGCATTATCTCCTGTAAATCCAATTACTTTTTGAGATCCTTTATAAGCTCAAGAATATCCTTCCCAAGATAATCACTAGTATGAGCATCGTGTAAAGAAATAAAATCCGGAAGAAAAATTGTGAAACTGAGAAAGGGTTGTTGAGTGCACATAAGCCGGATATCTAAGGTAAGAGCCAGTTTACTTTATTTTTTCTTTCATTTTTGCTAATTCAAGTTGTTTTCTAAATCTTCAGAAAGCGTTTGATAGGAGGGAACTCTATATCATGAATTAAAATTAAAACATATTTATTAAAGGAGTCACTGGCTAATTATAATCCATCGTAATAATCACTATCACAATATCTATTAATTATTGAATATGAAAAGAGACGAACGACTTTTGTGCACGCTTGTCGAAAGTTTCTAAAGTGACATGTGATTGTTGATTAAGATGTACCTGCTCTTCATTTTTATCACAAACTTTGCAAGTACAAATACCATCTTTGAGCACATTGAGATAATTGTGAATAGAAGCAAGTTCCGTTGTCTGCTTATCAACATTTTTGAGTAATTATGAAATTCATCCTCAAAAGAGCTTTAAATGAAGGATATTCAGTTATAGAAGACATTAATCGAATGATTTTAAAATCGAAAATTAAACAACTTTATGAGACTTTAATCTATCATAATTAAAATCGGTGTCTTTTTTTTAATTAAATAAATAGCACCTGATCTCATTAGGGATTCTGTCTTTATGGTCCCTTCGAGTCTAAACTCGATTCAAAATTTTCCGAGCCAAGTCGACTCAAAAGACCGATTCCAATATTTCTAGCTATGTTTATGAATCAAACACCCCAATGTAATAGGCTGTTAAACGTTCATTTATTCATATTTATTAATTAATTAATATTTATAATGGTGCGCCTGTAATTAGACCGTTTAGAGGTGAACTCGATAATCTTCTTGATGATGACGGGGCAACATTTAAACCAGGTTCTTTTATCTCTTATAATTATCATCAATATTTTTAATGATGATGGTGAAGAAATAAATGAATCTAATTAAAATTAGCTATATAAGATACAAACAAGTGTGTATAAAATCTTTATCTTCATAAACTTCTAAAAGATGATGATTAAAAAGAATCACGTAAATAAAAAGCTGAAGAAAGAAGAAAAAGAATTAATTTTGTTTCTGAAAATTTGACATCACAATCAAATGAAAATAATTAAGGTAAATTTAAGATTGATAATTTGTTATGATTTTATGAAATATTTGAAATTTTGCTTGCAGGACTTCAATTTGAGAAGAAAGGGATAGTTGCCATAATTAATTTCAGGAACTTAACTGAAGTTTTAGCATATCGAGGTGAGATTTGTCATAGGTAGATTTGATATTTGGATTATCCAAACAATAATCTTATTTTATTAAATTTGGTTAAAGTCAATTAATTGATTCGAGTTATTGTTATAATTCGGTTTTTATTAAATTCAGTTCTAAACGATTAATTGATTTGATTTATTGTTTCAAATTCGATTCCAACTGATTAATCATTTTGATTATTATGATACATAACTACATCCGAGAATGATACTCATCTATGACGTGGAAAACACAAATCGCTCGTCATTCGAGTGACACTTGAGTTTTGCGATCCACACGTCACACCTGAGACTACTATAGTCTAATCTAAGTCGTTTTTAGTTATATAGCTAAAAACGACTGGCTGTATGGCCTTCTATTTAGCACCTCTGGAATACAAATTTCTTGGATCGATTTCAGCATCAGACAAATTTCCAATGGCCCTGAGTCGTTCTCACGTGACAATAACTTTTTTGATTATGATTATCATTTAATGACTCACATTTAAAAAATAAAATTGGTCTCTAATATTTCCGTCTTAAAAAAATATAATAAAATAAATGGCTAGTTTATTTCGAACTTGTATTCTACGCTCTGCTAGGACAGTTCCACTTAAAAATCCTTTTGGACAAGCGACTCCAATCACAAGAAGCTTTAAAAGCTTAAACTTTAATTCTTCTACATGCACGTGTCTAATATTAAATAATTCGACTCGTTCATTTTCTACGACAAGCATTCGTTCGTTTTCTACGACTAGCATTCGTTCTTTGAGTAGTGGTATAAGTTAAATCCCATTTTTTCAAATTGTGCCTTCTTACTATTTATTATATTAAATAACGACTAAATTGTTGTTTCGCTTGGAAATAAAACGCGTTTTAAAGCTGATAGGACTCTAGCAGATCAACTAGCCTATGAAATAAAAACCGAAACCGAAAGCTCGTCGTATACTCCTGATACACCTGACTTTATAAAAGAATTCTTGAGTCGACAAACTTTTAAAGTAATTGGCTTTATCTTTTTTAAACATTATTTAACGCGTGAATATACTAATCTCCAAATTGTTATAAAAGATTGAAGATAAAACAGGACATGATGAGGTTGCTATAACGCGAGTTTTCGGAAATGAAACGTATGCTTCAAATCCATCAATATCCGAAATTTGAATTTTTGTGTTGATCGTTAAAAGTTAATGATGAAAATAAAAAAAATTTATATGATTATAAAAGACTCCGATTACTTTTCTCAGTTTCTGAAGTCACATCGGCCGAATCTTCAAGTGATTCGTTTTCTGACGAGGATGATTATGAAAGTGACGGGGATGATTCTGTGAGTGATGAAAATGCGGAAGTAAGAAACTAAACGCGTAAATTGAATCGACTCGAATCATTTCAAGTTTTCATACCGTGAATTCATTTATCCTTGACATAAAGGAAAAAATCAAATATAATTGTTGAATATTTGTTACATTTTTAAAAAAAAGGATGAGGATGAAGATTTATCCGAAGGTACTTTTCCCATAAGATGTGTTCTCACTGTTGAAAAGGTAATTTTTTTTTGTCATTTTGATTTCAAGCTTAAAGAATAAACTGAGATCTAAAATCATCTCTCACTAAAAGCAAGCCAAAGGAGCATTGGCTTTTGAGTTGACATGTGAAGACGGTGTATTTATCATTGACAGCATCTCATATTACAAAGACGGGAAATTAGCCAATGATTTAACAGTAGAAGGAGATTGGCAAAGGAGAAGATTATACCTGGGGCCACGGTTCGAAAACCTTGATAACGTATGCTTTTATTTTCCTTTGAGATTGGTGCACATGTTTGCATTTTTATTAAATAATTCAACGTTATGCGAATATTTAGGAAGTTCAAATTTTATTTGAACGATACTTGGAGGAACGAGGAATCGATACTTCTCTCGCCCTATTCATCCCCAATTACGTTGACTATAAAGAGCAAAAAGAATATCTTGGATGGCTTCATAATGTAAAGAAATTTGTAGATGCTTAAACATTAGATGAAAGTAGCAATAATCGACCGCAAGGTTAAACAGTGAATTCAAATAATAGTAATAATAATAAAAATCGTATGTGTTAAACACGTTCTAACCTCATTTTTGTGTTTGGGTTTCATCCCCTTTATTATGATCTAAATTAAAATTCTCATATACACACGTTACACGAATCATTACACATTTCCCGTTGTAATAATTTTATGAGATTAAAGTTACTAATTTAGTTACTATTCACACGAAAATAAATGAATTATTAGCAACTTTCGAGTTCTAATCCTCCTCACTCCCTGTTTTTACAACCTTTTCCTTCCTTCCTCCTCCTTGTGCGCGTATTTCATATACCCCCTTTGTCCCCCCCCTTCACACAAAGGTTGCTAACAACCATATACTCTAAAAGCTTGTTTTACAAGTTATCAACGGCAAAAGTGCATTCTTTAACCTGCGGGACAGCAACACTGAAAATAAACATCTCTCTTTTCAGTTTACCTCAAACTTCTTACGTTGTTAGCACCTTACACAATATTTAACATTCTGGGGACCTCTCTATAACACGCAATTCGCACATTTTGGAATTTCAAATTTTGATATTTAGTAGAAAAACTAACACAAATGGATTATAATTATGAACCTTACCAACCACCTTACTCGCCCGCACCCTCAACATTACCACCGGCACCCACTAGAACACCACCACCAAATTCATTTGCACCACCAAACCCTTCCACTGCGATCTTTAACGCTGTCGTACAAAATAACGTCGGGCTACTTAGTTCTATACTAAATAAAACCTCTTTTGACTTGAATAATTTACGAAACCGGGATGGCAAGACACCTTTAATGGTTGCCGCTTCCGAAAACTGTTTCGATGTGGTTCGTTTTTTAACGAATATACAAACTGTTAAGTTGGATTTACAAGGTAAACTTCTCGATAATATTTCTTATTCGAATTCTAAGCTTAAAATCAATACATATTCCTTTTATAATAGATAATGACGGTGAATCCGCTTTATATCAAGCTGCCTCCAATAATAGCATCGAGTCTGTAGAAATTTTAATTAGTGCAGGCGCATATGTGGAGTCTGGTAATAAGGTAACACAAAGTTAAATCAGTTCATGCATTAAATTTGTTATATTTATTAACTCGTAAAATTAATTCGTAATTAGGAAAATATCACACCGCTTATCATAGCTGCTTATAATGGTAATGCTACCGTGTGCGCTATATTATTAGATCAAGGTCATGCTAATGTAAATCAAAAGGATAGTTCAAACAAGACTGCGCTTACTCTAGCTGCATATGAAGGTCATTCTGAAGTTGTCAAAGTGTTGTTGGCTAGAGGTGCCAATGTGAATATGACCGATCAGGTGTGTTAAATGTATAAAGGTGACTTTCTCTAATAATATTCAATATTAATTCTGTATTATTTCTTAGTTTGGTTGGACTCCAATGATGCTCGCTGCATACGCAAATCGTGTTGAAGCATGTCAAATATTGTTAATGCATAATGCTGATAGACAAGTTGCTACAAGTAATGGCAAAACGGCTGCTGTACTTGCACGTGATGCAGGCTATTTCCATATAGCTGATATGATTGAGAATTTTGGAGCAGATCCTTTAAGATCACCTTATGGAATGTCACAGAATAGTTATAATAGCAATGCGCCGCCGAGTCATCAAGTCAATTATGATAATGCGCCTCGACATCGACATGTACCCCCTCAAAATATCTCAATAACTGACAATAATTTATACAGCGATCCTTATTCTGTTCGAGGTCATATGATGCCACTTGAACGTAGAGACACAAGACGGGTCGCACTTCAAGCTAAGAATGCGGAAAGGCGTCGATCGGAGTACTTGAATCTCAATGCTAATAAAGTGGGACCTCGTGCTGGTGAGCTCAGAACAGCACCTCATGTAAAACAGGATATGAGGCCAAGAGATGATGGATCGCCTTGGGTTATTTTCTCATTGATAATCACAGGATGTTGTTGCAATCCTTGTTTATCAAGCATTGGCAAAATGAAAGATCCAAACATTCGACAGGCTTGGCGAGAGAAAGTGGCGCTCTGTTTTATCATTCTTTGCATTTCTGGCTTTATGGGATTTTTGACCTTTGGATTATCTACATTAGCCTGTCAGAAAAAAGTGCCTCTTTACCCTCAAGATATTCTACGATTATATGGACCACAAGTTCCTGGACAGAAAGTTCATATTATTCGTGGTAAACTTTACAACACCGGTGTCTATTTCTTGTCTGGTAGTCATAGACCTATTGCTCCTTTAAGTGACGCTGATTTAGCTCCAATCATTACACCATTATTTGGTAGCGAAATAAAAGATTTCTTTCCACCTAATTACAAAGGCCTGGGATGTCAAAGCGTGCCCAAAAATACTATATGTCAACAAGGCGATCCAAGATATCATTGTCATACTTCACTTGCTTCTCAAAAACAGTTAGAGAATCTCTTTATGAATCTATTTGTCGGATTTACCTGGACAAATATAACAGACGGAGACAGTAAATTATTTGTATACAATGGAGATGTCTATGATTTGACTCAATATCTCGATCCACAAAACTCCGATTATTGGCTTGGTGATGGCAATACTACTCAATGGTTACGAACACTTGTTGGTCGGGATGCAACTAAAGACATTGTTCGAAGTCCAAATTCCACACAGCTTGCTAAATGCTTTGAACATTTTAAAGTTGGACAAATTGATGGCACAACGATTGGATGTTTCGCCACGAATCTAATTTTAATCGTAATGACCGTAATATTCACTGGAATTACCTTAATTAAATTTGTATCCGCTATGACTTTTGATTGGTTTTTATCGCGACAATTGGGTAAAATTTCAAAGAAACCCAAACGGGATGATGCAATCAGTCATATACTTTTACTGGTCACTTGTTATTCCGAAGGCGTGGAATCTATGCGAACTACTCTTGACTCATTAGCTGGAACTGATTACTCGGATCGTCATAAGTTACTTTTCGTAATAGCGGATGGTGACATTACAGGCTCTGATAACGATAAATCGACACCACAAATCTGTATTGATTTATTAGAAACACAATTCCCGGATGCCGCAGAACCAGAACCAATGTCCTATATCGCAATTGGTGATGGTATGAAACAACACAATATGGCAAAAGTATATACCGGTTATTATAATGTTGGAAATCATCATGTACCAATGTGCTTGATCATTAAATGTGGCACAGAGGAAGAAAGGAAAGGTCCGAAAGCGGGTAATCGTGGTAAACGTGATTCGCAATTAATTCTGATGACTTGGTTAAGTCATGTGTACTTCAATGATCGATTGTCGCCGTTGGAATTCGACCTATTCCAAAAAGTGCGTGGTTTGACCGGCGTGACTCCCGATAAATATGATATGGTTCTGATGGTGGACGCTGACACTTTGGTTAAACCGGATAGTGTTAGCTTTATGGTTGCTGCAATGGAACGCGATCCAAAAGTGATGGGGCTTTGCGGTGAAACTAAAATTGCCAATAAAACTGCTAGCTGGGTATCAATGATTCAGGTATTTATTATTTATTTAAGACAGTTTAATCCTAATCCGAGGAAAGTGGAGATGCTAACTATTATCAATATTTAATAAACAGGTTTTCGAGTATTATATTTCTCATCATCTTGGAAAATCTTTTGAGTCCATTTTTGGTGGTGTCACATGTTTGCCCGGTTGTTTCTGTATGTATCGTATTAAAGCGCCAAAATACGACGGTTCTTCAGTTCCGATTCTATGCAATCCAGATATTGTCGAGATGTATTCTTCAAACACTGTCGAAACCCTACATCAAAAGAATCTCTTGTTGTTGGGTGAAGATCGTTATCTCACAACCTTGATGTTGAGAACATTCCCAAAACGCAAAATGATTTACGTACCTAAAGCAATATGCAAAACCGTTGTCCCTGACGAATTCAATGTTTTACTTTCTCAACGTCGTCGATGGATCAATTCCACTATTCATAATCTCATGGAACTCATTCTCGTCCCTCAATTATGTGGTATCTTTTGCTGTTCTATGCAATTCGTTATTTTCCTCGAATTAGTCGGAACTGTGGTATTGCCTTCTTCGCTCTTGTTTATGATATATCTCGGAATTGTTGCGGCCCAAGGTCAAAATGTATTATTACCATTACTGTTCATCGCGGCAACTTATTTCCTTCAAGCTTTCTTGATCGTCTTTACCTCACACAAACCCACCTATATTCTGTGGATGATGGTTTTTATATTTGCAATGCCTGTTTGGAATTTCCTTTTGCCTTTATACGCTTTCTGGCATTTCGATGGTAAATTTTATTTTTTTTTTATTAACCCCTTTATGAATTTATCATAAAAAATTAATATCTTTGATAACTATATAGACTTCTCATGGGGTGCGACTCGTAAGATTGCGGGCGTTGATAATGGTCATGGAGATGGAGGTGGAAATGTCTTTGATCCAAACAGTATTCCAATGAAGAGATGGAACGAATGGATGCTTGAAAATAAAACAAAAGAATTACCAGTATATTCACCATCATCAATACCAGGTTATAATAATAACGATAATAATTTTGGTCCACCTAGCCCAGGGATGACGATGGGCAAAAATGAATATAACGAATATAGCGGAAGACCAATGGGTCCAAGGAATCTCGGTGGACCAAGATATTGATTTCGGACTTTTTTGTAAATTTCAACATCATCACCATAACGATAAAATTACTGTAAAGAACAATTAATCGGTTACAATAATGGTTTCAATAGAAGCTTGCGTGTACATTAACAAAATTTATTGTCGCGCGAGAACTTGTATAACTATTATATATATATATCTATTTGTATTTTATTCATAGAGAAATTTATACTTTTTAATGCACACACCTTTTTTGCTTTATTTGTAACATTATTTCCATTAGCATCCTTAATTTGTAACATTATTCTCGTTTAAATATTTTGCATTATTCTCGAACTTTATTATAATTGGAAAAAAGTTAATGCTTAATTTTTGTGCCAAAGATTTGGCTCAAATAAAATCATATGATATTTAATTTCCTTTGTTGTATATGCGAAATTCCTAGCAGAAAAAATAGTATTGGTACCACAATGCTCCGATATTTTTTCGTTATGTACATATTATATACCGATACATGTAAGAGAAACAATATCTCGAAATAATGGCTGGACTATTCAACCGCAATTTTCTCAAGAACCGTCTAGTCGTTGATTTCTTTCGCTCGTTAACTACTCTTCGCAATAATAGTCTAAAGAATGTAATAGATAGTAACAAGGAATGGGCTAATTCCAGTGAACTACGCAAGAAAAATTTTTTCCCCAAACTCGCTGCAACGCAAAAACCAAAAATTTTCTGGGTAGGTTGCGCGGATTCTCGCGTTCCACCCGAAATGATATCCCAATTGGGATTTGGACAATTGTTTGTTCATAGAAACATTGCGAATCAATTCAGGAGAAATGATAATAGTTGCGAGTCGGCATTAGAGTATGCCGTGCATTACCTTAAAGTCGAGCATGTTATCATCTGTGGACATACGAGATGTGGTGGTATTGAACACGCGTTTAATGCAAGTCTTTTACCTCATCTGAAAGACTGGGTGAAACCGATACAAGATGTGTATAGAATGCATGAGGACAAATTCAAGAGTGTGTCGCGTAAGCAAGAATTTGATCGGATTCTGGTAGAACTTAATGTTAGAGAGCAAGTTAGAAAAGTTATCGAGACGGATACGGTTAAAGCTGCTTGGGCTGTTAATCAACCTTTGGCGATTCATGGCTGGGTTTATCATTTGGAATCGGGAATTTTGGAAGACTTGAAAATCACAATTGATGAAACGAGTGCAACTTTAAGACAATAATTTCATTTTTGTATTTTTATTTTTAATTATAGATGATATGTCTAAAGACTGGAAAATTGTAATTTACGAGCGCCAGAATTTCATTTACAATAATATTCACACGTAGAAAATACAATTAATACATATCAAGAAACAACCAATCAAATTGTATCTTGCAAATTATATGACTCATATAATTATCATCATTATTATTATTGTTCAATTTCAAATTCCTCTACACCCTCGAAAAAATGTCTGGTAAGGCAGCGACCGTATTTATTATTGATGTCGGTCCCACCATGTGGCAAAAGGTGGAAGATACCGGCGCCAGTGCTTTAGATCTTGCTTTAAAAGCTGTACTAATAATGTTAGAAAGCAAGGTATTGTTATTGTGTTTTATAAGAGGACGCGTTTAGCTTTGTATTTTTATTGCTTCATGACTATAAAATATAATATTCGTATAAAAATTTACACTTATATTTATGTAACATGCCTTACGTATGTATATATTAGAACTTTGCGTAATAAACGCGTCTTTTGTTTATCGTGTAGATATTTTCTGGACGTAAAACGGATATGACATCTGTAGTTGCTGTTGGAACAGATGGTAGATAATTTTTGATGTATAGATCCACTTTCTTGGGTAAATCCAAGTTTTGATAATCCGGATCCCTGATTTAGATCTGGAAACAAGAATTTTGGCTTATCCAAGATTACTTTGCATTTTATTGATGTATTCACAATTTTTGATCCTATCAGACACAGACAATGATTTTGCTGGGGATGACATTAAGTATGAACACATTACAGTGATTAGTGGAATAGAACAGCCAATGCTTTCGTTACTTCAAACTGTAAGCAACGAACTTCCTCGTGGTAGCGTTCCGGGTGACTGTAAGTTGTTTCCAGGCATCGCGATTTCAATAATTATCTTTTGAGACAAAATAGTACCCTGTTAATTCATTTTCGAATTAGGTTATTCCGCGATAGAAGTCGCAAAAGACTTGATCACGAAACATTGTAAACATTTAAAGTATATTAAGAAAATCTATCTGTTTACGGACGGCGAATCTGAAATTGATACTCGCGAGTCTGACGCTCTTGTTCACGAAATACGTCGTGACGGGATTGAGATGAAAATTGTGTATGTATTTAATTTTGTTTAGATGATTTCGCAAGTATTATTTAGATTGTTTATTGGAATTTTAAATTAAACCCCCTGCGCGAAATTCATGGTTAATTGATTTCTTATGTACGTAGTGGCGTGGGATTCGATGATCCTGATACTGGGTTTAAAGAGCAAAATAAATCAAAAACCAAAGTAAATATCTTCGCAGAATTAGCAACCTCTTTTATCTAATTTCAAGATTCTTTGATATATTGCTTTGAACATTTAGGCAGCAAATGAGACATTTTTGCGTAGATTTGCGGAAGATTGTGGTGGCGATGTTTTTACAATGAATTATTTCCTAAATCAACTTGAATTGCCTCAAGTAAAAGCCATAAGATACGTAAATCTCTATAAAGGAAAAACACTTGTAATGGGTGACGCGGAAAATTATCCCGACTCTTCACTATCTATTCCTATAGAGGTTTACAGTAGAACTGCCATTGCCAGGCCAAAAACTGCAGGCAAATGGTCCGTACTTTCCGAGGCTGCTTCTATAGATCCAGAAATAAAAACCCACGGTGTGCACGTATCTCGAACCTACACGATAAGTAAATCTGACGATAAAGAGGAGGAGGCGGAAGAGGAGGAAGGAGAAGGGGAGGAGGAGGCGGCGGAGGAGGAAGGTAGTAAAAAAGAAAAGAAACAAGCGGATGAGGATAATAGAATTGAAGTGCCGGTTGAAGATTTGGAAAAAGCCTATACTTTTGGAAGAACAATAGTACCGCTGATTTCATATGATCAAGAATTGTTACATTTAGCAACAACCGCATCTATGGATATACTGGGTTTTATCAAAGCTGAAGATGTGAGACACCATGTTTTGTACTTTATCTATCTTTATTTCTTTCTTTTAATCTTTTTATGATTATAGTTTAGACGTGAATACGTTCTTTCGACTGTTCTTGTCATATTACCACAAAAAAATGATTTGGATGCATCACTCCGTATCTCGGCTTTAATACAAGGATTGTATATAAAAAATGCGTATGGTTTGGTTCGTTACGTCAGTAAAGCAAACGCCGATCCAAGGGTGGGAATAATTGTGCCGTATATCAAACCACCCCGTGAATGCTTATACTTTGCAAAGGTATATAAAAAAGAAAATTTTACAATCAGAGGCGGTTTTTTTGTTAATAGACTTATCACCCTATTCAATAGCTTCCGTTTAAAGAAGAATATCGGACTTGTATTTTCCCTTCTTTGAGTAACATCAAAGACAAGACGGGTAAAATAATAGAGCAACACAAAAAATTGCCTACTAAAGAAATGCTGGATAAAATGGGTGAATATATTGCAGGAATGGATTTAATGGAGGCTGCTGTGGACGAAGAAGGGTATTGCTTAAATATCCTGGATTGATATTGACAAATCATGTTAGATATATTCTGATTTATATTTATTCTGCGCATCGTAGAAATCCAAAGGAGCATTTAAAAGTCAAGGAAACATTCAATCCTGTATTATACCGAATCGCAAAAGCAACATCACATCGAGCTTTGCATCCAAATGAACCTCTAGTTCCTTTCAACGAAAGATTTTTATACCAAACAAAAATTTTGCCATCTCTCGAAGAAAAGAATCGAAAGATTGTTGGAGAGTTAAGTGAATTATTGCAGATTAAGAAGGGTACGTTGTGCCGTGCTTGAGTCGACTAAAAGATTCGTTATAACGAATTTCATGTTCTTGTAGTCCCTCCAAAAGCAAAGCGACGACGCGTTGAAATTTCCAGAAAAGGTGTAGGCGAGATCGATGTTGAAGATATACTTGGAAGTAAGGACGAAGATGAGGATTTGGATAATGTAGTTACGAAAAAGTCTGCTTCTAGTTGGAGCTTTGATGAAGGTCAATACTAATGATCATTATATTGGGAGAAGTAAAATTGCTTTAATGGGTGAAGATGTGATTTGTTTAATTAAATGGTAGTTTGCTTTTAATTTTTAATATAAAAAGATGTTGATGTACGAGAGATCGGTGTCGTCGATCCTGTCAGCGATTTCAAAAAGATGACCGAATATCGTAAAGAGGATTTAGTTACAACAGGTGACATTCACTTAGTTATGCGATATTAAATATTCTTTGGGTTAATAAGTTTGATGCACCTTTTTTTTTAGCCGTCGAACAAATGTGTGGTATTATCAAAAAGCTGATAATGCCTCCGGACGACGGGAAGGCCGATAATGAAAAAGCATTCCAATGTTTGGAAGCCCTACGAGAAGTTGCTAAAACAGTAAGACGTGATGACATGATTATTTATTTATATGTTCGAACAATCACTATTTCCTTTGGGTATTGAACATATATTTTGTTTTTCTCTAGCAAAATGAATCTCAAAGTTTCAATGAATTTTTACGCGAATTATACAATGAAAGTCTTAAAGAACAATCAAAGATCAAAGATTTCTGGGAAATGATAATAAGTTCGGAGATTACCCTAATAAGTTCTGATGAGGCGCCAGACAGTAATATTTCAAAATATGAAGCGGACCAAGTATATATACTAAAATTAATAATCCCTTGTGCCAGAATTTATTTTATTAATTTTTCGATTAACTATTTGCATCTTTTTCCTCTTCTAGTTCCTGCATGCAAGCGATGATATGTCTTACATTATTCTAGAACATGATGAAGATGATCAAGAACATGAAGATGATCGAGAACATAAATCTAAAAAGACATCCACCGGTGAAGATTTGGTGAGTATGGAGTAATGTTTCTTGAATTTAACACTGTGCATTTTACTAAATTTTCTTCCTTTTAGTGGGATGAACTTATGCTGTGATATTGTGATGAATTTTTTCTATTACTGTTTATTATAATGTAAAAAAAATTTGAGTACCCTAAAAGTTGCAATTAAATTAAATTAATCAAACTGAAGGCCGATCATTAGTCAAAAAAAAATTTATCGTTATCGCGTGCTTACAATTTTTTTCATACTACTTTTTAATAAAATGGTGTTCCAAGACTTGGCAAGCATTTTCGATTATATAGATCCAAATGAAACGTTATTGATTTCATTTGTCTCAATCTCATTTAATCCCATTTTCTGGAATTTTGTTGCAAGGAGAGGTTAATTTCAATTTAATATTTCATAAAAAAGAAGTGTTTCAATTTATTAAGAATTCCCTATTTATGCAGAATATAAGACAAAGTTTATCACTCGCCTCGCAGGCGGTGATCCTTTCCTTGGGTGTTACGCATTAGCAGTTACTATCTTCTCGTTGGGTATATTTCGCGACTATTTGTATGTTTGATTTATTATCATAACTATTTTTGGGTTTTCATTTCCGTATCTCTTACCGATTTTTTCATGAAAGATATAAAAAGGCACTCGAGAATCAACCCCAACATCCAGGTCTACAAAATGACTACGTTAGAGGAGCGGCGATAGTATTGTTTTTGGCCGGAAATGTATTTGTGTTGTCTTCTATGTATGCGTTGGGTGTTACGGGAACATATCTTGGTAAGGAAATCGACGACAATGGTTATGACATATCGTTGTCAATGCATTCAGATCATCCATAATATTATATTAATAGGTGATTACTTTGGCATACTTATGAATGAACGCGTCACATCGTTTCCGTTCAACGTGCTCGAGAATCCTATGTACTATGGGTCAACGATGGTATTCGCAGCTACTGCTTTATGGTAGGTTGCATGTATATGTATAGATAGTTATCTTTTTCTCTTCTCATCTCTTTTTTGTACGCACATTACGAACAAAATTTAGGTTTGCTTGTCCAGCAGGACTTGTTTTGACCGCATGGGCCTTTTTCTGTTATATTGTCGCGTTGCGATTTGAAGGGTACGTTTTTTTAACCCTTTTATTAAAAATAATTTTTCTAATTCAAAACTAAATTCGTAAGCTTTTTTTTTGTTTTAGACCGTTTACTACTATGATTTATGAGCGTCGTGATGCTGCAAGCGCTAAAGCAGAAAAGGAAAAAGAAAATTAAATGTTTCGTTGTATTTGTATTATGTAACTAGGAGAGTAAATCTTTAGATCAAATAAATACTTTATTAGTACAAATAATACTCGAAAAAATATGGATATCAAAAAGGTCTTTTCCATCGATTATATCTATCCTTTCTCTTTCTCTTCAGTCCAACATAATATTCACGAGCTAAAGCGTGTATTTCAGGTGGGTAAGGGGACGGTATCTCACTTTTCCCCTCTCTCGAGATAGGATCGCGAAGATATACGGTGGAACATGTGTTGAAGTTTACTTCCAAATACTCTGGTATAAATAGGAAAGGTTGCATGAATGGTTTTGGTTTGAACACAAGTGGAGCATTATCATTGGGTGGGTCAGCTTCACGCAGGAAAGAAATCGCGGATGGTTTGACACTGATAATGTCGCCATCTTGAGCTAAATGTGAAGGAGCAGATACCTGCAGGAAATATTGAATTAGCATAAATATTGGATCTAAATCCAAAATAAAATAAAATGACAAAATACTCACTTTTTTTCCATTAACGCTAACCTTGCCATGCACCACCAATTGCCTGGCAGACCAGATGCTCGGCGCGAAGCAACTCCGAAACACGATAAAATCCAGTCTCCTCTCCAAACAAGCGAACGTGTTAACAGCAAGCGGGGGATACTTTTCCTTCGTGGCTTGACCAGCAACACGCATATTGCTTGTGGGCAAACGCGTATTGAACAGCTTCAAAAATTGTCTTTCGTTAAGTTGTGCCCCATGATATCCGCGCGTGTCTTTTTTCGCTTGCCATTTCTGTTGGAAGAGAGACTTGTTCTGCATGCGTGGTGGCGTGTTTCCACGCAGATGCATAATAAAGAGATTTTTCTTTGACCATGACATTCTGATAAGCCCTCGGGCAAGTTTTTCACTTGGCTTTCGCATGGTGGGAGAGAAATTTTTACCACCTCGTTTGATATTTATTTACTTGTGTATCGATATGATTTTCTAAATCGAGGGTTTCGAAAAAATGGAGTCAAACCTCCAATCAAATCATGCTCTACTCTATAGAGCGTTCTATTCTGGAGGTAAATCCTATATTGTAGTGGGGGGGGGGGGGGAAATGTTCTCTATAGAAAAAGGTCTGACTTTAGCATTATGGATAATTGCATAATTGGTTTTCACAACATAAAATTATATGAACGTGTGCATGATCTTGAAACGCTGAGTTTAAAAACTACGAAAATGCACATTTGATATTTCAATTGCATTTACTATTAGGCATTTGAAATATATTTGATGAGTAAGAACATTTATAATTATTTATTATTATTATTTGTAATCTATCATCGTATATCATATCTGTTGTTTCTTTTTACTGCTGAGCCCAGAATTGAGATTCACACAATTCATCATTATTAATCAGCGAATGAATCAATGCCAACTGTAAGAATTCACTATAAATATAAAAAGGGTTTTAGTCAGTTAAATTACTCGGACTTTAGCCCAAATCTCCGTTTCTTCAATGATTTTTTAGTTTCTTTTCTAATCTCCATTATTGAAACTCGACATATTCTCTATCTGTACCAGATAAATTTATCCCAGCAGAACTAAACATAAAGCGAAATGACAGGCTCACCTACAATGGAACAAAAGAAGCTGCCAGTCTCTGCTTCTCGAGAGAAATTAGCGGCGAACAATAGAAACTACACAATGACTCACGGTGATTCGGCTCACGAACAAGAAACCAGAAGCGAAGAAAGAACTTATAGTAGTCAAACCCAACAACAAAACGACAAAAACAACATTGCTCGAACGCCAGTGCTGGTGACTGTATTAACGGAGCAATCAGGTGGTGCCACCGCTCCAAAAGAGCCAAGACTGGAAAGCAACAATGGGAATATTACACCGCAAACACAACAGTACCCAATAATTTTTCCTAATGCGACTTTGAATCAGGGATTTTACCAACCGTCAGTTTTGACAAATGAGATGACTACATATGCGTTATTTTCGGCTCCATTATCACCTGTCGCGACACCACCAGATACTTCAAAGCCAAAGAGACATCAAGTTAAGAATGCATGTGGTATGTTCATCTTTTTTGTGTGTTACGAGCATCTTGCAGATACATTGTGTCCATATCGGGTAATGAACTTAATTTTTTTTAATAGTTAATTGTCAAAAAGCATGCAAAAAATGTGACGATAGTCGTCCTTGCAATCGTTGTATAAAAGGTAAAATGACAGATACATGCAAGAGTTCGATTCGTAAAGAAAGAAAGAAAGGAATTAAACGAGGTCCATACAAAAAAAGAGGAAGGATCGTCGCTGATCCCAAAGGTAATTGATTATTTCAATTCACATAATTGTATAGTGGACGCTCGATATGGTAACGTGATCGGGGAAGGGATCAAGTGTTATTATATCAAAATCGAGGCATGCATGACTGGGAAAAATCTGCTAGAGATTAAAAAACGTTACCGTGTCGAGATATTACTCTAAAACGTATGTTATTGTAACGAGCGTCCACTGTATTTTAAAACAGCATTATTAACGCGCTAAAAATTTACAGATATCATCGCTTCATCCACAAATATTACATCGACCGGAGCGATCACACTTTTGAGTATGGCCAGACATCTCGTGATCCCTGCAATTCCATCTATTACTGTTCCTAATCCTACCGGCGGGGTTACTCCTTACGTACTATGTTTTCCTCAAACCATGACGATTAAACAAAAGCAAGATCATCAAAAACCAACCACCGCAAATAATATGGAAAAACAAGAAAAAACTTTATCATCGTCAAAAGAGAAATCACCTGATCGATCATCTTTGTTGTCTTCTCCACAACAAAATCAACAATTGAATTCTGAGATGATTGATGAAAATAAAAATAATGGATCAAGACTTACTCTTTTGTCGCAAGTTTGCAGTGATATGTTGGATAAGACAGATAAAAAGGAATCGCTTTCTCCTTTATCGCATTCCTCCCAAACGACACGAATTTCTATGCTATCTTTTACTTCGACTACGCAAACAGATGATCACGAAAAAGCGACTGATCGCTTGCAAGTTGCAAGCACTTCCCATCATGTTGACTTGCCTGTGCGTCAGGAATGTGAAATCATGAAAGGATCATCCGAAGAAAATCTCATTCGATTCTCGAATGAGAACATTCGACAAGAAACTGGAACACGAACTCAATATATGCCAACTAATCAAACTCAATCTACGCAAGTTCAATCTATTAACAATAGCAATAATTTCTCTCAAACTCCCTCGCAACTTTATTCTAATCATCAAGATCATCAACAACAAAGATATCAACAGAGAATACAACAAGAAACACAAGCATACACTTTCCGACCAACACTAACGATTCTTCAGCCTTCCAACCATCAGGTCGGGGGTATTCCTCGTTCCTCTATTGATTCATCTTTATCATCCTATGCGCATAATCAACAACTACATCATCATCAATCATCAACTTCCCAAACACAGCAGCAAGCACCCGCGCAACATAATTTTAGTGTCAATGATTCCACCTCAAAATAAGCAATAATCTACGAAGAAACCAACCGTGCGGTTTTAATTTGGGAGAATTAATATCATGTATATTAGTTATAAAATGTATCATTTTTGTATCTCAATACATCATTTTTTTCCGTGAAAAAAAAAACAAAATGCGAAATAATAAAATAAGCAACAATTTATATTCTACTGGAAGGCACCGTTTAAAAACCACCTGTGTAATGTACCCTCCCACTTTTTAAGTCCGATTTTTTTGTAAACCTTCTTTGTGTATTACGATTCCTTCCAATCATCATATGTCGCTTTGTAGAGTATTTCCGGGGGTAAACTTTTGAGAATATTATAACAGCATAATCTAGAATCAAAACTCTTGTTAAGTGATCAAAATTTGATTATGAAACTGCTTTTATAAGATGTTCCTTATGAAATTTTGTTTATAGGATATTAATGCTTAATAGCTAAACCCTAGATCAATATTTTTTGTTAAAATTAGAAACAAGCAAAACCATGTAACAAAATCTTAAATAAAAATTTTCATTTAAATCACAAGACGGTTGCATAAAACATCTATTTTGTTTTTTTGGATTCACGCAGTTCCGATTGAAACCTCATTATTAATTGAACAAATAAATTTATTGTATTAATAGACATAATCGAGTGACATCAATATTGTAGGTGGATGATTATCATGCCACGAATATAATCAAACTTGCATTATTGATTGGTTAACTTGTTAGTCTCCAAAAAAATGTTAATATCGGTCTTCGATTACATTTGTAAAATTCAATCAATTATCAGAAACAAGCCTGTGCTTGAAGAAGATTAATTATTATTGCGAATAATTAAATCTTAATGTTGCAATTCTACCCACACACCAAAGTTAAACGGTACAAATAATAAGATGGCGTATTCTTGCCAGCTTTAAATCATCATTAGCTTTCAATTTTACAAAGTTAAAAAGTTACCATTTTTATTTCAAAGAAAGGCATCACATGATGTTAAATATTTTTAAAGTTCCGAGTAATAATAAGATTCATAATCATATTAATGTAATCCGATTATCGAATTCTTTTGCAAGATTTTCAATACTTTTTATCCAGCTACTCGATAACCTGCTTATAGTGTGCCGCATGAATTGTTCTTTTTCCTATCGACCAGCAACGTAAAAAGAGGAAATGGCGGTGAACAATTTAACGATTAAAAATGATAATCCATTGTGAAACAAACCTCGAGTAAACAAAATTCCAAGTTTGGGATAGATTTCAAAGAGGGGAGCAAAACACCAAGAACTTCTTCTAATTTAACTTTCTCCTTTAATGCGTTCAAATGGTTCTTGATTTCCAAAAGTTTTTCTTTAAGCGACACGTTCACAGTTTGCAATGTATTCGACTTCAAAAAGGAAAAAAAAATTGTAAGCAATAGAGTATAAAAGTCTATATATGCGCGTAATTTTCGTACCAATTCTCTTTGTCCAGATTTTTTGCCTTTTGTTCCTAGTAATTTCTTCATTGTTTTTATTCCTATTACTGTGTAACTTGTAATCTGTTGAATAAAATAAATGACGTTAATGCCACATTCATCCGATAAAAAAATTCAAATACGCAAATCACTACCTCATACCTCCAAGAAAATGGCCAATCGATTAATAACTGACCACGAAAATTCCAATAATTTGACTTCTGAAATGACATTCGCATAGGCCTCTGTAACAAAAGGGAAGAGAATTAATGATTAAAAGAAAGAATGACGAATAAAGAGTATAAATAGACTCAATGGTACCATCCAGAACTAGCTTAAATTGTCCAATAGCGGTGGAAATTTGATCAAGGTTACCTAAGTAAAATTTTTGGCATTAAAAAATTGCACACATTATGGAAAACATTCATATAAATAATAAAGGCATGTTAATTACCTTCCTTAATGGCAATATATAAAAAGCCCAATTTAATAACAATTTTGCCTAATTGCTTTTCTTCAGCAGTCAACTGTTTAACGAAAAATCATATTGCAAAATAAATGATTCATACTCTTAATAATGTCGTCGCAAAATAAAAACATACACTCGGTGCTTCTTTCTCCCCAACAAGCTTTTCCAGATCCGCGACAAGATTGGAGATTTCATCAGCAGCTTTATCAAAACAAATATTCTTGAGGATGTGTGGGATTATGGTAAATAGCTTGATCCATATATTCTAAATAAACATATACATAATGAATTCATATTATCAAGTAGTATGATAAACAATATGTCAATTATGTGAAAAAAGAATATAGCCTACATCAAGTTTAGGGGATGACCGTGTCAATTCTTCGATGGAAGGTTTCTCCGATGGGTTGAAATTGACCATAACTTCGAAATCTCTATTATCTCGGAGAGATTCACAAAACTTTTCTACCGAAAGAATTCGGTATATAGGCGGTTGAGAGTCGCGCAAGAAACTAATTTCCATTCTAAATTGTTTTTACCATTATAATGAAGATCCGAAATATCCATCTCATTAAGATAGTCAGTTATTTCTTTGGCATTTTGGGAAGCAGCAATGATCTCAAGCCGTATAGATTCACGATTAGACAAGACTCGTTGCAAGGAATTGTCTAGCTCCCGTCGAAACTCTATAAATTCTTTGACCTAAAAATAGAATAGTGTTTTTTTTTTAGTTAATAAATCCCTCCGTATATGAGATAATATGTGAAACGTGAAATACTTTTGAGTATGTTCCGTATTTATATGCGTGAACTATCATCTCCGGAGTCTATGAAAATTGATAATTTATAAGTGAATATCGATAGAAAGCGCAACGAACGAATTTGCGTGCTCGTGTTACTAACAGTACCTCTAGAACATTACTACGGTAAATAGGTAATGTATCCTTACATGATTGAAGTGCTTCTTTATAGAATGCAAGAGATGAAGAACGAGTAACTATATAATGGCTAGAAACATGAGTTAATACAAACAGTTTTTATCTAATGATTATGAAATAATATTTGCGGTTACCTCATAGTGTCTAATTGAATATGCTTAATATCCATGGTTTTGTATATTTCTATTGGCCTAAGATAGACACCTTAAAAAGTGGAAATAATTAAATTTTGAGCATCCTTTTCAAAATAAGCATCTATGATTTTATCTATAAATTCACAGATAAATAATAATTATACCAAGTATTTGATATAGTCGGATTAAAAGCAATTGTAGTTGGAAATTATGTTTGCTTTTAAGTAGCGCAGTTTCAAGAAGTAATATTGCTTGTAGGATAAAAATATAATTGACTAAATAGATAGTTTCAGTATTAGTTTAGGAATTAGTTATTTTAATTTTGTTTTGAAAATTCAATTATGAATAGAAACCTTTTTTTTTGTATTCGTCAATTAAAGCGTGACAACCCAAAATTATAAATTCATCCCCGTAATGATCCTCGGTATCCACCAAATCTATACCTATTTAAAAAAATACGAAACGAAACATATCAAGACTCAATGCGTAAAAGGTTAAATAAAATCTTTAAATTCATGTCATACCGTACTGGAGAGAATCTTGATATAATTTCCAGAGTTTGTTGGCATAATTGATTGTCTCTTCGGAATCAAAATTAGCAGTAAGTCCGAAATATCTCTCGACTTTGTGGAGATTAATTTGTTTATAAATATTTTTAATTTTCGCCTGGACAGAGACATTGTTAGCTAGTATAATAAACAAAGATACTGACAAATTTATATTTACTTTATCATCTGTTTGTGAGTAATCGATTGTTGCATTGAATTCATCAATCAATTTCTTAGCGCGTTCACTAGAAAACCCTTGTAAATACGGCTGCAAATCCTCAAAGCAGCAAGTCTTAGAGGCAAACCGTCGAAAGTAATCAACGATATGCGAGGTTGAAACTTCATCGAGAGCTATTCCACAGAAAATTAAAATTATTAAATTGTAAAATATGATAGGATTATATATCAGAAAATTAATTACGCAAACTTACCTCCTTTATTATGCAAGCTCACTCGGCGATCAAATTCTAATTCAGCTAAGTAGGGACCTCGCATAGGCGTATCCATCTTCGATTCCTTTTCTTGCAATGATTTTATTAATTCACGTGCTTCATCGAAGTTTTTCCCAATTAAACTCGAGCTAGCAAAAAGATAATAAGCTAACTCAATAAATATTCTCTTATAACTATCTATATTAAAAAAAACCAAATTCAAACCTATCGCCATCTGTACTTGATGAATTATCACCATTTATATGAAATAACGAATCGAAATATGTCAAATAGCTTTTCCAATCGTCTGGACTGCATGATTTTATGAATTAGAAAGTAGTCCGAAAAATTACGATAAAAATCAAAGGAAAAACAGACTATCATCTACCAACTTCGTTTCGATCAATGTATTTTTGCTTATCGTATGTAAGCTAGACCAATTTTCCAATTTCAAAAGTAGTTCTTGTTTGACACGAAAGATCTCGGTATCATCTTTACACTTTTTACCGATATCACCTTCAATAACTTCCAAGGCTTCTTTTACTTTATTCTGTGCCAACAAGACATTACAATATAGATGAACCTCTATTGTAAAAATAGAAGTTAAATACACAAATTCTTCTAGATTTGCATAAACAATTGTATTATGTAAATAAAACCTTCAATCTCTTCAAGTCGCTTTTCTTCTGCTGCCTTGATCATCATACGTTCAGCAATAGTCATAATGATACCCGATTGTGCGGCCGGTGCTTGTTCAGCCTATATAAAAATTGCTAATGAGATTTATAAAGATTAATCATGGACAAACTTATTATCCTTCAGCCATATTACCTGCAAAATTAGACTCATGATCCACCAAAAATAATATCTATTTGTCCGTTTTCCAAAAGTTTTGTGTAATTTAAGAGCAGCCTAACAATGAGATTTGAAAATTATTTTTGATATAATTCGATGTTATAAATTTTGAATTTCTTACCTGTTGTTGACCCTTATAATCATCATTGCGAACCATTGCCATAAACATATGACTCGCTATCTCTTCGTTATTTGGTAAGATTTTCGCTGCATTTTCGTAAATCTGAACAATTTCCTCGTCTTTTGATCAATTAACATTGATAATTTAAATTTTATGAAATCAAGTTCAGAAAAATAGTTTACCAAACATATTCAAATACTGACGTTTTCCTAAAGACCGATAGACCGTAGTGAGTGATTGTAATACAGTCTCATCGGTTGGTTTTCGTTCTTTTACCTCATTACATATAACTAATGCTTCTGAGCTTTTCCCAATTTTTTCGAGTAACAATGCTTTTAATGACTAAAAAATACATGATTAATATCCAGTTGAATATGTAAACTTTTTGCACGCATTGATGATGATGATTTTACCTTCAAAATCAGCGCATCAGGTTGCTTTTTTTGTAATTTGGAAATTTGCGAAAGAGCGCCCTTATAGTTGAGAGAGTCGATCGCATCTATATAGATTTAGAAATTGTAAATAAAATTTTTTGATTTATTTGTGTAATATTTAATCAATGCGTTCACAATTAATGACAGTTATTATAAATATATATAAAATGTTGTATTTTTAAATTTTTATCATTCCGTCTTGTGAGAAAATATCAGAATTCAAAGCAAATATTATACTAAAAATATTAATTATCTACTATAAAATATATGTAAAAAAATAATACTATTAAGAACAAAATAGATTAACTTTATTCGTCATATTTTGAATTCTCATGGTGAATATAACTAAACTGCTATAAGTAAATGAAAGATAATGAAAGATAAAAAGTAATAGTTTTACCGTAAATAGGACGAAGTTTACGTTCCGAAACGTCGTTATTTGTAGACATGTCAGTCGGGAGTGAAAAATTTTATTTTTTTTCGTTGACGATATTGTTTCACGTATTATGTATGAGTGGCTTGGTATGCTTATTTATTGATACAAAATCTTTTTTGCTGGTTCAACAACTATAAGTTTTATTCGAAACCATGGGCGTTACTTGGTATTTCTAATATTCGGCGAGTTGTTGCTTTGTCGATTCTATTAAAGTTGAACTTTTAATTTTTAACTTTAAGGGTAATGCACTGGAAAAATGCAAGTGGACCCAATTCCTTGGCCGTCCTTACAGATAAACTGACAGATTTTGGGAGCGTCGTCTCACCGAAAGAATCATACGTACTCCAGTGTAAAATGTATCGTAACAATCGATCCGTTACTCCCGCTCAATCGCAACAGCAATTAAGATTCATGTACACAATTGGCACGCGACACGGGCAACAGTTGTTTTATACGCTAGTTGACGATGTCGTGGTGGAATCTGAACGTGAGACTGAGTTGATTATGGCAAAATTGAGGAATTTATGGGAGGCGAGACAAAATGCGACTATTGAGGTGTCTTATTGTCGAATCTGTTAACTAATTGAAAGAAATGTAATTATTCACTTATTCTTTGATTAAATAGAGTCATATTTTTTCGGTTGGAGATTTTGTGGTTCGTCTTGGCAATATGAATGTCAATTCTCTGTACAAAGGAATTATGATTGAGGTAATAATATGAAATTTACTACATATTATCAATTTCTCTCCAAATATTCTTATACAATTTATAATCTTGATCTTTTAAATAAAATTAGCGTACTATATACATATACACAGATTGAGTATCGCCCATTATCACATCCATATACCGCGACTCCAATTCTTCAAGAATTCAAAGATATGCTATTGCCCGCCGATGCACAGATAGCACAATGGATTCCTAGGGCCACATCAGATGACGACACTTTTGCCAAAGTTGGACTGTCCGAAGAAGTATACACCACATCACATACAATGTATCAGTATATGCAATTATTAAAGATTGAAAACTTAATGTGATTCATTTTGGAGATTATAAAATAGAATGGCGAATATTTTTTAGGTAGGTAGATTTGTGAATAGAATTGGATTGTTAAGAAAAAATTTAAAGGTGAGAGATGGTCTTTTTTGATTTTACAAACGAATATGCAATAAATATTTATTTTCACTCTCTATACAGAAAAATAGCATCTAAAATTGTATTATAATCCAATTGGCATGAGAGCATTATTTCGAAATGTGTAACGATAATATTTTGAAGGTTGCCATTGAAATCCAAAATTGAATTAAGAATTAATTAGCTCAATTGAAAGGAGATTGAACAAAAGTTTATGACGGTGAATTTGAAACGGGTGCTTTATCTCGTAGCGCGAGTAACTCGAGTGCACGCGTACGAAGAGATGCTTCTTCTTCCTCTTCCATTTCACGATAACATTCTCGAAGTATAAAAAATGCAGCGTCACTATCCGACCAGTAACTGAGATGGACAGTGATAGCGTTCAAATAGCTTACATCCAGAATTCCCTCCTGAGATAATTATAATTATCATTAACAAGACTCGTCAATCATATTTAAACTACATACGTACCTGTAAACAATAATCCACCCTTCCAGTGATATTTAAACTTCGTAATTTAGCAGCGCTAGTTGGATCTTCTTTTTCTTTTTCTGAAAAAGACAATGAGCTTTGATGAAACGGTCTCGAGGGAGGAGATTGCGTAGGTTTTACTTCCGGATCTGGCGCTGATCGAGAAAGCATTGAACCTTTGTTTTTGTTTCCGAATAAAAGCAGTGAATTCTTGACATTTGAAAACATGTTTGTAGCTTTGTTGGCAATTCCGCTGCCAAATTCTTGAATGCCTATATGTACTGCTTTAAGGCCGCCTTTGTGATATGGGATAAGAGCGGGCTTTAAGGACACGCCATAATGTCGTGCAATAAGAGGTTCTGACAAAAAGATTGATTTATTATTTATGATTCGAGCGAAATTAATTTTAATCATCGAATAATGGAATTCCACTCACCCAAACGATATGCGATAGGATCTGAAATATAGGAAAAAAGTGAATTTTGAGCAATAAACATAGAGATAAATAATTGAAAGCTTCACTTATGGAACAAATGCCTACCGGCTCTATGAAATATATTATATATATTTCGGACAGCGGGATAACACAACGGAATCGACGAAACTGACTTCAATTCAGGAATTTCATCAGAATCATTGTTCAAATGATCACCGGAAATCATTTCTCTTAATCTATTTAGCAGTTGACTTCTTCTCGATCCAATTTTTAACCCTTTTAGCATAAGGAATAAACCAATTGGTGACCCGAGAGCAAAGAAATTCGCAACGGGAAAATCCAATTTTACAAGCCGCTCGTGAAGTTGTTGCATTTCTGGATCATTCCTTTCATCGAATATTCCGGAGACTGTGATGGGGCTTATGGGCTGTTGATGACATAGAATGTCAAATGCTAATACAGAACCAAGTGAATGACCATAAATCGAGACTTTTCCGCCAATTTCCAAGAATCTTGGATTTCGTTCGATAAATAACCCATAAATACGATTACATTCGCTTGTGACTGTATTTATCATTTGCTCACGATATTTAGGTGTCATATATAATAAAACTAAGACAAATTAATTTAGTTAGATCATGAAATTTCCATATTTTCTTTAATACAGATATAAAAGTATTTAAAATCACCATCCATTAAAACATCTGATATCATCATTCTTATTGTTGGTACTCCGTCCAGTGTAATCTCATCTAGAGTGGTCTCTCCTTCCTCTTCTGCTTGCAAGCCAAGATCAGTTTGTGCATCTTGATCTACACTGGCCATACCAAACTTTAAATAAATACTTCCATAATTAAATAAATTGCGTCAACTTTGAGCTCCAAAAAATATTTATTATAAATTTGAATCACCTTAATTTCTTGCCGCCATTGAACGGGTAACACTTGAATTCCATTGCCTATGTGTGTCACCTTCTCGGCCGGCACTGAATTTCTTCGTTGTGACAACGTAGAGTCGGTTCTTGAAATCATTTCATCGGGTGGATTTGTAGCGTACATTGTTTTGATAGTTCGTCTTAGTATATTCACATCTTAAGGAAATCATCAAAAAATGGAAATAAATACATAAACTTATAAAATTTATGTCTAATTATCACTTACCATGAACAAAATTAACTGATACCATCCTTTCACTCAGTTTTTGTCCAATACTGACATCGTCAATTAAATAAATGGTTAACAATAATTTATTGAAATATACGCGGTTCATAGAAATTATTCTCAATATTTACCCATGAATTACTAAAATTAGATGATCAATCGTTCTTTCTTCTTCTTCACTTTCCTCGTTATCGTAATCTTCTGTTTGTACTGTTTCAGGATCCACTTCAAGTTGTTTATCTTGTGTGAGATCATGTTCTCTTTCTTTTTCAAAATCATCTCTCTTTTTTCGTTCGGGTTCACCAAAACTTTTTGACTCAAAAATTTCGACTTCTTTATATCCTCTCAAAAGACGCGTCCCACCCAAATTGACGCCCATTGTAACTTTTGCATAAAATGTTTTCGCCAGTTTTCCGGTCACATCGTCGCTATTATATTCATATATATATATATATAAAAATAAATCATAAATCCAGAATAAAAGATAAAGAAAATTAGAAATGTCTTACCTCAATTGCCAAGCACTCGTGGCATTGGTGTAAACAACGTATTGCGATAAATATCTGCCATATAAAGCCCAGTTTTTTTCTGGTGGTGGTTGTTTTTTTTTTATATCCGTTGCAGAATCAACCTCTTTGTATGTTTCTTCTTCTTGAATTATCCAAGGTTGATGTTTTCTAATTAGTAGGGAAACTTTAATATAAGCTAAGCATATGACCTTGATAAATTCTAATGTAATTATTATTGGCAACTTACAAATAGCCGGTTTCAACCTGTGATGCGAGATTTTCGTCACAAGGCAAGAAAAAGTTTCCGTCTCCTTGATAGAACCATGTTCCACGTCTTACCTCATAAACGGGTCCAGGCCAATAAACCTAAAATATAGGCAAATTATGAATCAATTTGATAAATTCAAACCTCTCATCCAAACGAGCATAAAATTTTAGACAACTCACCGGATATATTGCTCTATCATCAATATCAACTTCGAACAAATAATCCTCATTAACAGGGACTGTAAGTCCAGGCACTTTACTTTGATACGCCTGTTCTAACTCAGCAGAGTCGCGTCGAGAAAAAGGTACCCATGCTGAAGGTTGTTTCGCTGTTGGTGCATCTTTCGTACCGCCGTTATTGGAAGCGAAAGAGGCAGAAGGAGTAACAGCCGGATCCGAGCGAGGTACATCGACAGCGTGGAACCTAAGACAAAATGTTTATACTAAATTATTGTAATTATGAGCTTCTTCGTTATATTTTATTACCATCGCACTATAAGTTCAGGACAAAGTGATGGACTTGTCGCTAGGCCTTGCGTTTTAACCGACAATTTAGAAGTTGATTCCTCCATTCCCTTATGAGAATAAAATTAACAATGGTTGATTCCAGATGTTATAGCTACCCTTGAAAAAAGTGTTCTCACCGTATGTGTGTTACACAAGCATCTATTTTTAATTGGTCAATGTTAATTATTGAATAACGCGCGTATATTTATAAAATGGTAACAACTCAAAAAGCCGATGTTGTATTGACGAAGACAATCGATAATGTCATCAGTTCAGTTGTTTTGGCAAAGTTAAAGTCAGTTCTAAAAAGCATAATATATCTATATTTCTGTTATTTGCTTGAGAATGCTATTTGTATTTCAAATATAAATTTCTCATCTTAGAAAGATATACAAATCAAATTACTCTACTCTTGTAAATATAATTAGAAATGACTTATAATATAACTGATAAACTAAAACAAGGATATCAAAAAGATAACTATTTCAAGAAAATCTGAATATATAACGATAAGAACAATTGAAGAATATTAATTATATATTATTCGAGTTAGATTATAATTAATATTCTTTTATATTAATAATTCTTATTATGGTCCGGTGCATTAATATCCGTACCTCGATTTAAAAGATTTTTATTTGCGTAATACTAAAACCACATGCAATGACCCAAATAAACCCATTTTCATATGGCAAAATGATTATTTATCGTTATAGATGTATTTTTTTTCGCAAAATTCATTGATTCCTCATGTCTAGTTCTTGCGTAAACCAAACTTCTACACCACTAATAGCGAACAAAAAATGGATAGTCTACAGATACTTTTCTGGGACTACATCCATAGATAAACAAAATAAAAACATGTCATTACGCAAGCAAGTTGGTCTGGTTTTGGGAATTGCGGAGAGTATAGTTGGGGTTGTATTGTCCAATTGGAACCAGCGTAATGATGATACATTTGCACCACATCAAAATCTTGAATGATCTAAATCTCAACCAGACGAAGATATTGCATCACTTTTGCGAGCTCACATTATGAACAGCAACAAGACAGGATAACAACTTTCCACACCTTTCTTATAATAATTTCTTTTCAAACATGGGTATGTACTTTCCAAGTGACAACTTTTTCAAATACTACAGTGGTTGGATTATTATTATGGACAGGAAGAATGAAGAAATATTCTTCATGAGTCATCAAACAATGTTGCATTTCACTATCATTACCTTCATTACCATTTTGCTAATCTAGAGAGTAACAATAATATTCCACATCTTTCAGAAGTTTTTCTTGATGAGTTATATTATCATTTATATCATACATCATCAAAAATATGGATGTCTCAAAGAGTATCATTTCAACACAGGGACATGATTCATTATTAATAATTTTTGATACAATTATCATTTTTCAAAATAATGATAGTAACAAGATACATGGTGAGCTTATGTCAAATTCTGTTTATCTTTGGGATCCTGCAATTAAATCTCCTAGAACTTGAGGATGAAAATAACATAATGCTGAAGAATGAAATAATATTCCAGATATTATTAAAGATATTAATATTATTTCTGGCCAAGTGAATTACTATGGAAACTTCAATGCCAACATTTTTGAAAATCTTTTTACAATACTTTGTGAGATAATTAGTAAAATATATAGTTAAGTATATATTTATATAGATGATACATGTTATTATAAGCAAAGAATTAAAAATGTTTCAAACTCAAATATCAAAAAAAATAAAATAACTGATTAATTAATAGCTCATGAAATTTTTTTTTCTGGTGAATTATACAAATCTGAGCTTCTAGAATTTATACAGAAAAATAAAGAAAAAGTTTTATTTGCTTATATTGAGATAACAAAATAACATAGTCATGAAGTTTTTTTTACGTCTCCTTACCATTATGAGCTTCAGCTAATTGAGAATATTTGGGCAATAGTAAAAGATGAGATAATGAAGTTAGGCTTATATTTAAATCTCTTAAATGTTAGAAACAAGCTTTTAAAAGCTTTTAAAAAAAAAATAACATCAAAAGTAATAGTAAGATTATGAAAAAAGTGCTTACAAGAGTCAAAGAATATAAAAAATCAGATAATGATATAATTTTATTAAATAAAAAAACAGATGATAATAATGATCTTGATAATAATGATCTTGATGATAATGATGAATTTTAATAAAATTTTTATAATATAATAAATCTGAATATCTATTCATTTTTTATTTTTTTTTAAAAAAAAATTTATATGTAAAAATTAATTTTATTAAGGTTATTGTGAGATATGAATATTTTTATACCAAATCATATAAATAATAAAATAACTATTCTAATAAATTTATTTAATATTATTAAACTTATCAAAGATTTATTAATAAAAGCTTAAAAGAAATAGATAATTTAAATATATTAATTAATATTACTATTATCAAGAATTTGAAATTAGTTTTATTTTTAACTTGTAATATTATTAATTTTATAAATAAGTAATATCTTATTATTATTATTAATATTTTTTTATTATATTATCATCAAGTTAAAAATTATTATTTATAATAAAATAATAGAATAATAAATTTTTTAGAATAAAAATTGATATATTTTTAATTAACTCTAATCAAATTTTATAGATTTTAAATTTTTTATCTTATTACTAGTGTAAGATTATTTTGTTAATGATTGTAAACAAGATAAAATGTGATATGAATAAGTTTTAATTTTATAACTTATGATT